AGCCGCTGAAAGCCAGCCTAGACGTAAACTGCTGAAATTAAGCTGATTTTGTGGCGACGTCAAAAATTAGGGGTTTATCCACTAATATCTGGTCCAGCAGGAAATTTGTTTCTGGTGGTGCGGCCGGATTACAGACTCTAATTACGACGGGAGATGTTTCCCCTCTCCTGGGGTTACAGTGAAAATCTGCTGCTGCACGTTAGATTTCATGTACTGTATATACACTATTGCAACGTAGTGATTTTTTTTTCTATAGCTATTTATTGCATCGAGGTATATATTTTTGGACGGGGTGTGTGGGATGGGGCGGGGTGGGGTGGGGAGGACCGAGGAGAGATAATTATATTAGCAGTTTCCTTATTCATTATTTGTAAAGTTATCCATTTGAAAGTCTTGCAGGATCCAAGGAGCAATTTGTGCATTGTTTTTTTTTTAGATCTGCAGTGTACTTACCTACAGACCTGGTCGCTTTCGTTTTAAATATTGGTTTGAGTTTGCAATCGCATGAGAAAACGATCTATTATGTTCTTGGACTACTGAGAGTCGGGAGAGGTGGTGGTGTCCGTGTCTATGAATATACTAGAAAGTGGCTAAAACAAATGACATCCCCCACTCCCTCCCCACTCCCCCTCCCTCCCCCACGACATTGAACACATTTATTTTTTTCAGCAGAGTGAAAGTAATGAATGCATTTCGTTTTCAACCGGTGAGCAGATCGGTACAAGTAACCTCTGGTTATTCATTTCCCTGTAGAAAACACGAGAGTAAAATTGCTGACAAGGGGTTGAGGACGTGGGAGAGTTTATTAAAACACAAAAATAAAATCTTGCTGCAAATTCGACGACCCCCCCACCACCACCCAAAAAAAGCGTACGATTCGTACGTTCCGGTTGAGCAAACTGTAATCATCAATAACAAACCATAAATACTGTGGTCCCCTTCAAATCACAATTATCCTAAATGAAAGTTATTATTTTGTTAATCCGAGAGAACAGCTTGTAAAGGGAGATTTGGGTCTTTCTTTAATAATGGAAGGTTGATGCCGTATTCCCTTGTAATTATCTTTATCAGAGAGACGTTCTGTAATCTGCATGTTTAGCAGAAAAGGACCAAATCAAAGGAGATCTGGTCAGAACAGTTTGTATAAGCTGTTTGTAAATCGTCTGCCTGAAACAGCTGAGCCACAGAGAATGTCACAATTCAGCTGCAATAAATGGGCCACGTTCACCAAACCTATATCACAGCAACGAACGAAAGGCATTGCATTTGATATATATATATATCAAACGAAAGGCGTTGTATTTGATATATATATATATATATATCAAATGAAAGGCGTTGCATTTGATATATATATATATATATGCATATATTTTGTTTCTTTGCAGTCTCGAGAACACATGTTTTTTTTTGGGGGGGTGGAGTACCAAACGCAATCGAGCGATTGCTATGCGTTCAACGGCGCTAAACAAAAACGTCGCGTTGATTGACTGCTGCAGAATTGTTAATAAAAGTGATTGGGGTTATTAATAAAAAAAGCAGCAGCAGCGGCAGCGGATCACGAACATTTCGAGGCAAGTACGGTATTGTCTTCATGTTTCACTGCAGGTAAACGCGTATTCGTATCCGTTGAGGTGTTTTATTTTATTTAATGTCATTTCATTTAATTTTTTTTTAGCCACTCTTAATAAAACCAACAAAACTGCACTGGGTCGCGTCTTGGCCAAAAGCGCACACTTACTTGGCTGTCTCTTGACAGAAAGCCAGATAGCTAACATGCTGAATTATACTGAATTATCTTCCTCTCTCTCCCCCCCCCCCCCCCCCTCCCCATCACTCCCCACCCCCCACCCCTCACCCTCCCGTTCTCTGCCTTTGGAGACATTTTCCGCATGATTTATTACACAGAAGCCATTTGGCGCTGTGACTCTGCTGACTTGGGGGACGAGGTGCAGAAACGAATCAAAGTTGCCCCCCTCCTTCCCTTGCAAACTGGGATTTAATTCCCCCCCCCTACTTCCCACTCCAAAAAAAAAACTAGTTTAAAGTCCTGGGTAAAGTATAGGGGTACCTTTTTGTGACGGTTAACGCAGGGGGACTACAGTGCAACACGTTACCTGGTATTTCTTTTTGTCAATTGCACAGTTTCAGGAGGTCAGATGTACCCACGATACTGCTGTCTGCAAATCCATGGAAATTCATACCGTTCTCGCCTTAACCTTGCAGAATAGTGATTGATCTGGGCTATGACTACCTCTCAAAATATGCCACACCATCCCGGCTGCACAGTGATCCAGTTCCCCTATTCCCTGACATTTCCCCTGGGTTTAAAGTGAGATTGCTCAGGAATAAACCTTTACCAGAATTACTTCATTTAGTCGCGTTTGGACTCAGGTAAACCCGAATCCCTCAAATACACCCTTTGGTGCATCTGGAGTTTTTTTTTATTATTGGGGATAGACTCGTGTTGGAATAGCCTTACATATAAACATTTTACGTGGATTTGAATTAAGTCAGACATTTATCACCGAATACAGAAGTAAAAAAAAAAATTCCACCTGAGTTTAGATGTACTCACTTTTTTTTTTGCAGCTGGGGGTCTAACACGTGTGGAAAGCCATCACCGCGCTTAAGAGTATCCAAACCAAACTGTGCTTTCTTAACATTTAGAACGACACATTCTTAAATCGTTTTTAATTTCGTGAACATCTTTTCTGAAGTGTTGGTTTAAAAAAAACACTACAGAAACCCAGCCCTCAAAGTTAAAAACAAACCAACATGCTCTCAGCTATTTAATACAAGAGTAAATCTAGACCAAGGGGGAATACACCCCCCCCCCCCACCCCACCCATGGCTGCAGAGAGCCAGAAAGCATCAGCAGAGTAAACCTGCACAGAAATTATTTGAATCGTAGAGAACATGGGTTTAAATTGAATGCTATCCCAGCAACAGAGCCATAGAGAAGTGTATGAGTTCACTCGTTTTAGATATATCAGATACTATCTCTAGAATTGTCACCTCTAAGTAAAGGTGGTTGTCAGTTTGGCTCAGTTGCAGCACTCTCCTCTGAATCAGCAAGTTGTGGTTTCAAGTCTTACATTGAACTTACATAATAGTCTGGGCTAAACTCCAATAGCACTGGAAGTATGATATCCTTCCTATGAGGCATTAGTCTGAGATCTTGTCTATCTACTCAGGTAGATGTTAAAGATTCAAAAGCATTACAGTATTTGAAAAGAGAAGGAGTTTCTCGCAATGACCTGACCAAAAACCAAGCCCCCTCCACGAAATTGATCATCGCTAATTGTGGGACCTTGCGGCGTGGAAGTTGGCTATGGCATAGTCATTATATTTATAATATATTGTATTATATAGTGCATCCTGAGACCCCCTCCTGATGTGAAGCGCGTTATATCAAATGTAAGGATTATTATTATGTTTATTTCATGTCAGGGAATTGTTTGAGTTATTTGGATTCAAATTAGGTCAATGAATGGCTGGGGAATAGACAGGTTTAATGATGAATTAGTGATGATGGTCAGCCTGGGGAAAAGCATGTGAGACACCTGTTACAGGCACCAAATTGATATATCAGGTTCAGACAACCTATTCCCACTTTTGCAAAAACATGTTCAAGATTTTCGGTGACTACATTGTGTATTATTGACTTGTAAAGTATTCATTTCTTAATTGAATGCACCACAAGAAAAAATGCTTTAGAATTGCACTAGTCTCTGGAAAGGAATTTGAAAGAATAAAATCTTGCTTAGATCTTGCATAGATCTGCTGTGCGCAATTGGCTACTGAGTTTTCCCACAAAATATACAATCAATTCACTTTGAAGCACTTTGAGATGTCTCGAAGATGTGATAAACTGCTTTATCAAATGAAAGGATTATTATTATTATTATCATTATAGTCCAGACCTTTCCCCAGGGTTTATTTGGAAAGAGCCATCCAGGCAGTCTCCACATTTGAATAACTCTGACCCCCAGAGTGTGCTCTGACTGTCCTATACCCTTCTGCAGTATTTGGGATCTCCTCTCCACGTGAAAGGCGCGATGTAAATGCAATTTGTTGCTGCTGTTTGCGAAACGTCAAAAGATTATTTTCTCTCTTAAAACCTCCTGTAACTCTGGAATACTGAGTTGCCAGAGTTGCAATTCATCATCACCAGAGTTGCAATTCACAAGAAACGATCGCAAATGTGCTCGTCCGTTTAAGTAATTCGTCTTGTAACTGAAAGCCGGATTGTGCGACTGATATAAAGAAGCAGAGTTTGATGGAGTGAATTCTGCCCCAGATTAATTAAGTTGGTGAAAGAAAAGTTATCGACGCAGATCCTTTGGATGAATTTACATTGAACACTTGCAACAGTATAGGAAGTCCTTTCAAGTGGATGTGCTTTTTCTTCGAAAAATTCACTCCCAATTTAACATAAATGTTCTAAATCGTTACATTCGGGGGGGGGGGACCCCTAATAAAATAGATCGATCTGTTGCTAGAGAGAGAGGGAGAGAGAGAGAGAGATTCGATTTACAAATAAGCAGTGCATGTATTAGAATATAAAGATACAGTGCGGATCGCAATCCCCCCCCCAAAAAAGGGATACTGTCTCATTAACAGATGCTAAAGTTAAGTGAAATCTGCTTGGTAGAGAAAAGACAGCCCACTTGGGGAAATCTTGATCCGATTTGAAAATCCTAGTGGATTGGGAGGGAGGAAGGGAGGGAGAGAGCCTGGAGGTGGGAGTTGGGTGGTGGTGGTGGGGGGGGGGGGGGGGTGGGGGAGGGGGTTAGGGAAGAGGGAGGGAGCTGATTGGATCTGGGAAGCGTCCGGCGGACTTTGGACACAGATAAAAAGCTGCAAATCCTTCGCCAGACTCCCAAGCCATCCGCTCAGCACGGCATTCCTAGAGGAAAAGGGAAAGCGTAGCACAGCCCAGCACAGCCCAGCACAGCACAGCCCAGGACAGCACAGCCCAGCACAGCCCAGCAAGCATGACCGGGCGGGAGGAGAACTGCAAGGCCAAGTGCAGACCTCTCCTGGGCAAGCTACTGACCGCCAGCAAGGAGGCTGAGAAGTGCAGCCGGCTTCCCGGGGCGGGGGGGCTGAGATCCAGGGGCTTCGCCATCACCGATCTGCTGGGACTGGACCACCCCGCCGAGCCCCGCCACCCCCCCGGGGTCGCGCCGCAGTTCGGGGCACCGGTGGGCGGTGCGCTCCCGCTGCTGTCGGCCGGCCTGGGGCTGCTGTGTGCCCGCCCGCTCAGCGCCTTCCAGCCGCCGGCCCCCGCCTTCCTGGACGTGCTGTCGGAGCTGCAGACCAAGCCCGGGGGGCTGCACCCTCACCTCCCGCTCCTGCACAGGACCAGCCTGCAGGACAAGCACCACCGACCAGCCAACTCCGGTAACCGGCTCACCGGCCCCGCCACCCCGCAAAGCGCCCGGTCACACATCACACGGCGCTTCACAGCATGTGCTGTTGTAAAGTGAATTGACTGTGTATCTTGTGGGCTGAAGGCAGCAGCTAATTGCTCACAGCAGTGTCCTACAAACAGTCATGGAGTGAATGGCTAATTTTTTGGGGGGTTGGGGGTGGGGGTGGGGGGGGGAGGGATTATTACTCTGGAAAGCCATCTGCTGATAGACTGACAGTTAGGTTCCTACTTACTGCTGGGCAAACCGAAGCGGGCGGAGTAAGGAAACTTGCTTAAGATTTCGCCGCGCCCGGGAATCGAACTCGAATCCTCTCGCTGGTGAGACGAGCTCGCTAACCGCTACCCTGCGGGACCCCACAAAGGGGGAACCCGCCACCTCACTCCCACCCCACCCCATCCCATCCCATTCACTCACTCCCTCCTCTCCAGCAGCAGCAGCTCCAAACCAGACTATTCCCATCCAATCTCCAAATCCCCACCACTCCTGGCCTTGTTCTATGCCTGTGTAAAATGAGCTATAGACCTATCGGATGGACATCATCTGGCTCTCTTACAGCTCCAGGCAGGGAACTACTCCAGACAAGCTTCGCGGCCAGCAATCTTTAACTTATCCACTTGTACAAGACGTTAATTTTTCACAGTTGACTGGACATCCCATGATTAGGGTGGACTCATTCTTAAAAAGTAATCCGAACTCATTAACTGTTTCTACCTACCGACTTTAAAAAAAAACAATCCCAAATCTTTTCCCTATCACTTTTCGTTCCCAATGTTGTATTGCAACTGCTTTAATACCAACATTGCCTTATATTCTCCACAGTGATGTCCTGAGCCACAGTGTGTGTGTGTGTGTGTGTGTGTTTGGGGAGGAGGAAGTTGGGGTTGGGTTGATGCTGTCACATGTTGTTGTTGTTGTTGTTGGGTTGGGTTGATGTTATCACAGCAGCAGCAGCAATGTACATAAGCAGTTTGTGGTCTTTACTGAAAATGCCCAACGTATCCGCAAAGTTTGGGTACCTTTTGAACCCTATTGATTTAACCCTCAACGGAGTTTAGGTGCAAACTCGGTTACAGATGACCAGCCACTGACTGGGTTCAATTTGCACTTAATAGCTGACCCGGGCATCCTAACCACGTTAACGACTCATTCGATCGTTTTTCTTCATAACTAGTTTATTTTTTAATATATATATATATTTTTTCCCTATCACTTTTCGTTCCCAATGTTGTAGTGCAACTGCTTTAACATCAACATTGCCTTATTTTCTCCACAGTGATGTCCTGAGCCACAGGGTGTGTGTATTTGGGGAGAAGATTGAGGGGGGAATAAAGCAATGAGATATATATATATATCTCATTGCTTTATCCCCCCTCAATCCAACCAAAATTTCGCAGGTGTTCCCTTTTCCAGTTCGGAAATTCCTCTTCCTTCCGATAAACGAAAACGCGAGAATTTCGTTCAGGGCTTTCTTTCCTCTGCGACTTATTTCGTTGCACAGAAATCGACATAGAAATGAACTTTTTTTTAGAGAGAGAGAGAGAGAAATTAAAATGCAGAGAAGGGCGAACATTTCGGTGTTTTCAATGCGAGAGCTGACAGCGAGCGGTCGCGTTGTATTTTTGACTGCACCTCCGAAAACCTAACATCCAGGTTTATTCTTGTTGCTCTGCACATATTTTTTTTTTTTTTTTGGAGTCGGAATTGTGGTTGTTATCAGGACCCATCGGTGGACAAAATGGGAATTCATATTGCAATACAGAGAATCGCTTGAACACGGGGCTGTGTTGTTGCAAATCACCAGATGGTACATTGCTTCTACACTCCAATAGTGCATTAAAACAACACCAAATAAAAGTCCCGAAAAGTCTCATCGACATGATCCTATTTTAGTTGGACGCCTCCACAGCCTTCGACGACCTCTCTCTTTCCATCAGTGCGAACAGACGCAGCTTTTGATGTCAAATAAGAGTCTGAAAAAAAAAAGAAGGCGATCCAATCGGGTCCACAGCCAAACGATGTGGGATGATTTGTTTTGCAGTCCCTGGTCGTGTTAAGTTCTTTTTCTCTCAGTTGAAGACGGTGGGAGGAAAAAGAATAATAATGCTAAATATTGTACAGTTTAGCTTTCGGCCCCCAAAAAAACTGATGGATTCCCTGTGAAGTGCGGCCACTGACTGCCCTTTTTCGGGGGATCCAAACCAAAACGCAGTTGCAATCGGGAGTTTTTGAGAGGCTTTTAAAAAAACGCTTTTCCTTCCCTTTCCTTTCCTTTTCCCCCTTTTTTTTTCCCAGACGACGACAATTCGTCCTGTGATCGCGGCGATCTGAAGAATTCGGCATCTTCGCAGACGAAAAGGAAAAAGAGGCGACACAGGTAAATTGGGGGGAAAAAAAATAACTCTCGGGTTATTACTGTGCGTAACGGGGGTGGGGGAAGGGGAGGGGGGAATTTTCCCCTTTTTTTTTCTGCTGATCCCCAACTCTTGGGAGTAGGTTCCACAAGCGCTGGGCAGCGTGTGATGTCTCCTCCAGGTCACACACACACACACACACTGTGCAGTGCGTTGTCCCCCCCACACACCCCCTCCCCCCCACACACCCCCTCCCCAGACAGTCAGTGAGGATACCCTTCATTGCAACCGAACCCATCCCGTCCCTCTTCTGGCCTCAGGATCCCCGGTTGGAAGCTGTCCAGTGATCACCGGGACAGTGATCGGGGACCAGGTACTCGCGGCTGATGGTTTCCCTTCCAGTCCCGTTGCACCGACACTTAAGGGAATGTAGTTTCTTTGGCTGAGCCCAAAGGTAACTCGGAACACACCAGGACCCGCTGCTGTCGACCTGGGAATAAGGCGCTGTGGCATTGAATAATCATAACATTTGGACTTCCTCCGGAGATCCACCACAGCATATAAACAGCTCTGTGATCGCGCTGCTCGTTCGTGCGGTGTTGGTCTCTTAAAAAGGTTGTTAAAGGGCTAAATTCGCATTCCACCCGTATTTACTATTTTTTTAAAACAGTCTTACTTCCCCCTCCCAGGAAGTTCGGTAGACTCCACAACGACTTGCATTGCAACAGCTCTAACCAGAGAGCTTTCAGCTCAACACATGGACATAGGCTGTGCTCATATCTTGCACGTTAATTCCTAAACCATCTCTGACAGGGGCTCAGCCCCACTGATGTTGTGTGGTTCACACCATGAAATGAGCAGCTCGAATGCAGCGATGCTTTGCTCTGGGCAGTGGTTTTACTGATGGAGTCGGTTCTTCTTTTCTAACCAATTGAAAGGTAACTGGGTTTTAATAGTTACTGTGTTCCTTAGCTTAAAACCCTCTGGGTGCCCGGCCGGTCAAGGACTTCAATCTCTTGTTACCAGTCTCTAACTCCACTTTCTAACCACTGGAGGAAGATGACAAGGGAGAAACTGTCAGACAAACTTTGTAATACAGACAGAGCAGTCAGTATGTGCAGCAGCGAGTTGGGCATTCCAGACAGTGAGGGACTATCAATGCACTGTCTATGTGGTGAGAGCAGATGAATTTGAGGATGTGTATAGTTAGGGTTGAGTTAGTCATTTGGTTTAAAGGTTGGCAATGCGGCAAGAATGGGTTGCTGTAGTATAGGAGCTGTTTTAGGAGATAGCGCAAAGATTGGGGGGGTTTCTGTGTTTAGAAAGCTATCTTAATAAGGTTAGTTTATATTAATGTGTGGCCATCAGCATTCCCCTTTGTCAACCTTCCAAGCCCTTAGTATTTTGAGTGGTTCGAGACGTTTGACCGTTCAGGTGCACACTTCATGTACCGAATAAAGCCATTTCATCATGAATCAGTTTAAAACCAGTTGCCCATTATGATTGTAGGTGTGTTTTACTGGAGAGCGATTGCTATCAGTCTGCAACAACGGGAAAGGGACATGGCTTACATTGCCCGCTTGATGTTAGGTTACCAGCTTGGTTTGAACTGATGCAAAAAATAAGCCTTAAAAAATACGGGCACCACAATCTTACGGGACAGGGATGGTTTGTGCTTTAATAAATAGGATAAAATGATGTCCCGCAGCACAATGCCAGCGTTTCTTCTGCTGGCGGGTTTTATTTGTACTTGAACAGGGCTAACGTTTGCATAACGTGCTTGATGTTTGAAAGCGTTAGTCAGCCCGGGTTTGCATGAACCTTCGTGAGTTTGAGTGGGGAACAGCAGTGTAGTAGCGGCTCAGTAGCAACAAGAACAAATTACATTTGTAAAGCGCCTTCCTTGTAAAGGACATCCCAGACGTGACAAGAGGTTGAGGTGCTTGACCGGCCGGGCACCCAGAGGGTTTTAAGCTAAGGAACACAGTAACTATTAAAACCCAGTTACCTTTCAATTGGTTGGAAAAGAAGAACCGACTCCATCAGTAAAACCACTGCCCAGAGCAAAGCATCGCTGCATTCGAGCTGCTCATTTCATGGTGTGAACCACACAACATCACTGGGGCTGAGCCCCTGTCAGAGATGGTTTAGGAATTAACGTGCAAGATATGAGCACAGCCTATGTCCATGTGTTGAGCTGAAAACTCTCTGGTTGGAGCTGTTGCAATGTAAGTCGTTGTTGTTGTGTTGTCTACTGAACATCCTCGGTCGGGAGTAAGACTTTTTCTTTAAAAAAATCTTAAATGCGTTTTAATATAGAGGTGCAGTTTGCAGCTCGCTCCTTATCCCTTATTCTTGGTGCAGATCGGTGATGTACTGAACCTCACCTGCAGGTTAATTTTAACCAGTTAACATAGACTGGTGATTCCGACTATGTATTAATATCACTGACTGAATGGGGAAAGAATAAAAAAAACTAAATTCCCACTGCTTGACCAGGATTGTTATATGGCCTATTTAATGAGACTGTGGGCAAAATGTACTGGCTTTCGATTGCCGACCTGTAGGGCACTGTCTCCTCTTGAGTTTTAGGTTAAACATCCCCCGATCCGAGGTGAAATCCACAGGCTCCACTTCATAGAAGTTGCCTTTGAGATTGGCGTGGGGTGGGGAGAAAGAGTTGGCTCTTGCGTTCAGTATGATGCATATTAAGTGTTGCCATAATCCTACATAAGTAAAGGTCAGCTGCTGCTTGTGGCCATATTATTTCTCGGTACTATAAATGAGAAATGACTTCAAACCCATTTCATATAGAAGATAAGACATGAGAACAGGTTTCTGACATTTGTTTAAAAAAATCCTGATTTTCCCGAGGAAATGCTCAACATTACTAATTGCAAACACTGTACCACTCTCTGGGCTCTTGGTTTCACCTCTTATTCAACGAGTCCGTTATTCTAATGGCTAGTTCTTTTGGTTTAATGTTGAGATGGAAATACACCTGAGTGCAAGGTGATCTAAAATAATTTGATGCTCTTGATTTTCATTAGAGCTCCACGTACATGCTTTGGGAATAAAAGGTTTCTGAAGAGTTTGATCATTGCAGTGGAATATGCCAAAAACCTAAAGATTGCTAAGAAGGCATCACCTTGCATATACTATTACCCCCCACCACCCTACCCTGGTCCCTGATATTTCCCTTCTATTTGTCCTTGTGGATTTGAGCAAGGTTTGTAGATGGGGTTGTCTCTGATTAATTTTAATCGAGGAGGAATCCAAAGCAATGCATTGGAAGGCAATACCTGCTCCTAAGCAAGTGGTTGTCAGCAGGGAGATGGGTACAAGAAAGTTTATGCCCAATAGGCAGTTACTTGCATATGAATTACAATCTTGGAACTGCTGTTTCATTTCCTTGTTCAGTGTTTGTATATCTGTTTTTTTGTTTGGTTTTTGCACATCCAAGAGCTGACATTCCTCATACATTTTAGATTATTGGCTTTTAAAATTTAAAATCCTATAGAATTTTGGAAAAAAATCTTAAATTTCAGGCTTAGTTTCCAGATTAAGGCTGAAATTTACGAATTTTCCAACAGTCAGCACAATTGTAAAACTTAAGATCCTGGTTTTAAGATTAAGAATTTGGATTGGGGCACTTAGCTCTACTTTTATCTCTTCACTCAGCAGTGCCTGATACCTCACACTGTCCTTCCTAAAAAATACATAGGTTTGTTAGTCTATGGACTTTTAATGGTGCTTGGCTTGGATTCTGATAGAATTTGATTGGGTCCATAGCTTTCCTGGGTGTCAAATACTCCATTAGGTTCTTCTTTGCAAAGAGCAGCTGAGAGACTCCAACTCTGGAGGTCAGCTGCATCCTGCCCTATTCAAACAGGGAGTGTTGGTTGAGGTATTCACTAGAAATCTGCTGGAGCTGCTCTAGGGCCAGCTCCTCCAATCTTTAGGGAATTGGATCAATAAACAACAAAAAAAATTGCATTTATATAGTGACTTTCATATCAGGAGAACACACAAAGGCGCTGACTATGCAAGTTTTTCCATCTGCAATTATGATTCAAATCTCTGCACTTCAGTACTGCTGATGAAGGTTCTTTTAAAAGTCTAAATTCGCTCAAATTCAGTTTATGATCTAGTCGGATTATTGTTCAGCATGCATTGAGACTGGTTACCCTGCTGTTATGTTGCCTAATGCCCCAAGACTAAAACATTAAAGCTGATTGCTGCCTGTTTCCACACACCCCCCCACCTACAATAAGCATGATTTCTTGGCTATTAGGTCTGAATGTCATCCTCTTTAAATTGTAGGACGGTCTTCACTGCTCACCAGTTGGAAGAGTTGGAGAAATCTTTCAATGAAGCCCATTACCCAGATGTGTATGCCAGAGAAATGTTAGCCATGAAAACTGAGCTACCTGAGGATAGAATCCAGGTAAGCCTTAAATGGGTATCCTGCACAATCCAGAATTACACATTTAACAGCTCCATTCCATACAGCTTGTGTATTCAAATGTGAATTGTGACATATGACCTGCGTTGCTAACTCGTCATTGCATAGAATGATGCAGATAGTAATGTGATCTTCAGAAGCTTAAATCAAGAGTTCTTCGCTTTGCAGAATTTAAGATGGCGCAGACTTTTAAATTCAGGCTTAATTTTTAAGCATGTTTTCAAAGAACTATGGAAAATAGACATCCAATTTTAGATGAGGTAGAAATCTTACATTTTAAAGCAATAGCCTTTGGGCCTTTGAATTAATTTAAACAACTGTGTGTGTGTGTCTCTTTCTCATCAAATCTGCTCGAATTGTCTCCAAATACCTTTCCTTTGATGGACCAGTTGGGGGAAAAAAATGACAGCATTTAATTTTATTCTTGGACATGGTTCCTGCAAACGGTCATTCAGCAGCCAATTAGTGTAGGGTTTAGGCTGTACAAAGTGCAGAAGCAGCTGTGAAATTTTATAAAATGTTGTATTTTATGCCAACTTTTGTCCTCTTCAGGTGTGGTTTCAGAACCGGAGGGCGAAGTGGAGAAAGCGGGAGAAATGCTGGGGGAGGAGCAGTGTGATGGCTGAGTATGGTCTCTATGGAGCAATGGTGAGACACTCCATCCCACTGCCTGAATCCATTCTCAACTCTGCTAAAAATGGCATGGTGGGATCCTGTGCTCCGTGGCTGCTGGGTAAGCAATTACAGACTCTCATTCATCATTTTTAACGCGAATTAACATTCATTTATTTTGCAACTTCAATGCCAGCTTAGCTCAGTTAGTAACACTCTGACCCATGGATCAAAATATTGTGGGTTTATGCCTGAATCTAGCCTGATGCTCAGTACAATACATTTGGGAGCACTGCAAAAAAAAATTGTCATTCACTTCATGGCTCTTTGTGGGACATTTCTGGGTGTAAATTGACTGTTGTAATTGCCCACAAAAAGTCACTTCACAGTAATTCCTATGAAACTTTTTGCAAGGCCTCCTGATATGAAAGGTGCTGTATCAAATGTAAGTATTATTGTCAAGGGCTGTCCTTTGGATGAGACATAAAACGGAGGTCCCATCTGCCTGTTCAGATGAATGATTAAAGATCTGTGATGCTGTTTGAAAACGGAGGTGATTCTTCTAGTATCATGGCTAACAATCTTCCAGATAAAAGTGATAATTCATTTATCTGTTTGTTTGTTTGTGGAACCTTGCTGGGTTCATGTTAATTACAAAACAATTGCTGTGTTTGACACCAGTTTTGTGTGAAGTGCCTTGAGACATTTTGCTGTTAATGGGTGCTATTAAATGAAAGGTTTTCTATTTGCCTCCACAATTAATCAAAGGGAAGTGTGTGTGTGGTGGGTGGGAACAGGGGAATAGAAATTTTGTGGAGATACTTCTTACTCAAATTTCAAAATTGTGGAAATCCATCCTTCGTTCACTCTTGCTGTTCACCTAGAATTTTAAAACCCAAGCTTTGCAATAATTAACCACTTCTTATTGACATTTCTTTTTAGTGCCTTGGGACGTCCTCCCGATGTGAAAGGCGCTATACAAATGTAATCTTGTTGTTGTTGTTCTGCTATTCATTCTTTTTCAACCTCGGGTTATGAGGCTTGGCCCTCATCTAGATTTTTGATTTTTGAAAATCTTTTTGCCTTACCCTTCCTCGATGGTATACAAATTATTGTTTAAATCTGGTATTAAATTAAAATTAATGCGAGGACAGGAGGGATGGGGTATATTGTAAATGCCTTTTGCGTAGTATCTAAACATGGGTTGCATCTTTGGTGCTTGGTCAAGTGGTTGCTGGGCAGGTAAATCACTGAGCACTACATTAATGTCATGCACTGTTCGCTATCTGCTCACTACCGTTTTACATGTCTTCAACGTCTAATTAAATTTCATCCAGCATCTAAGCAGTCTCTGCACATCTGCACCAGCTCACAGCGGTGCATTTAGATTTGTGCCAATGACAGTCCAGACTTGGGAGAGAGTGCACTGTATAAGTGAACAAGGCAGGTTTACTGTCTTCGAAGAAGCTAAAACTGACCCATCTGAAATCTTTTCAGTCCCTCTGCTGTCAGTGATACAAACACTGCATCCCGGGACCAGTTTTGATTTTTGTTTTCTGGCCTTATTTGGTTACTGGCAAGAGTTGCAAATGCAAAATTTGACCCAAGTGGGTTCTGTAATATAAAGGGAGAATTTCAGGCTGTGAATCCTTACCCAGTCAATCCACTTTACAATATATTCTGTGAAGTGCTTTGAGATAACTCAATGACATGATAAGGCAACAACAACGATTACATTTGTATAGGCACTATATCAAGTGCAAGGATGTGTGTTAGTGTGTGTTCTGGAGGGGAGAATGCAAGGCAAGTGACCAATCCAACTGCAGGGCAAAAGGACAGTCACAGGTTTATACATGAAATATTCTTTTAAAATCTCAATTGGCCTAAATCCAATGATGTATTTGTTTTAAACTGGTGCTTTGTATAATCCTTGACCTTTCTTTTGTGTGTGAATGTGACACCTTGACTCTTTGTTCAAACCACTGTTAATGTCTGAATACATGACATTGTAATGTGCAAAGCAGCTTTGTCACACAAAGGAGTATCTTAAGGCCTTTTACATCCCTATGAATGCCTCCAGATTGAATGTTTACAATGAGTGAATAAAGGTTACAATGGCTAAAAGAACAGTAGTAATCCCTGCATTTAGTACAGCGCCTTTTCATGTCAGGACACAGTATAAAGGGCTTGTGTTTTTTCCCCCCCCTGGATTCTCTATAATCAGAATACTGTGTCTTATTTCAAGTCCAGTATTTAAACCAGTGGAAGTTCATTTGAGGAATTGTGCAAGTACAATTAATATAATTATTTATATTTTGCCTAGAAATACACAATCACTCTACTTCAGAACAAAATCCTGTGAAGCGATTTGGAACGTCCTCCCGATGTGAAAGGCGCTGTACTAAATGCAAGGATTATTATTATAGTGTACTACTGGAGGAATCTTTTTTGCGTCCTTCTCTCAGCCCGTTTCTTCCTAAGATGGCCAGATCTTCTGGCATTGTGATGCTTTGAATCCATGGGTGTTGGGGTCTCCAATACCTTGTTATATGTTCTGTTATGAGTCAGGACAGTCGCACCTTGAAATTACAGCTCCTGGCTCCTTAAGTCCTAAGTTAGCTCACCAGTCTCTCTGTGTGAATTAACTGCTGCTCTTGGCAGTAAGTCTCTGTGGCAGAGGCAGTATCTCAGCTGAAGTTGATCCTGGCTTCACCCTACCTATACACTTCTGATGGGTTGCAGGTTTGAATCCTGTGGTGAGAATCTGATCTCTTGTCAAAGTGAAGATGATGGGTGTTGGTTGAAGACAGAATTAGGCTCAGCTTTGCCTTCCACTACTTAGAAACCCAGCATCTCTGTCGAGACTCACACATCAATGTGTTTGGTTAATCGCATTTCTTGTTTATTATATACTGTAGGATTATTATACTTTAGTATAGGGTTTAGTGTTTGAATCACGAGCCATACTGTTTCACTCTATTTTGTAGCTTTCAATATGGTAAGTGATTTAACAACAGTATTTAGAATTGTAGAAGCAAGCTTTTAGAACAAACTAAGGCCATTCGGCCCCAATAAGTCTTTGCTGTCAATGAGCTCTCAGGATGGACACCCGATTTCAAGAGAAATTAAATTCTGAGTTGCCGCAAGATGAGTCTGATCCTTGTTAACTACTAAAATCTCACAAAAATCCAGAGATTTATTCTTTGGGGTTAACTGTACAACCTGATTGGAATAGTGAAATTGATGTATCCAGATAATGAGTGTGTCAGTGTAGCTGATCTCAGCCAAGTTATCTGTGTGGTGTTACAAGTAGCCTTGACTACATAAGTAGGGTATGGAAGTCTGAGTGCAGGGGAAAACCAAATGGAGCAGTCATTCTTGCTGTTCAATAACTTTTGTGAGAAAATGCAAAGATGTTGGTGATGGGTGAAGATGAGGCTGGAAATAACTGTGATTCCCACCCCATGGTCGTGTAATCTGCCAACAATAACTAGTCTAAATATCTGAAAAGTGGCCACCAGAGAGTGGATGGCATTTGCAGAATTGGAGTAGAGAGAAACAATCGAATTATTACTGTAGTTATTTTCTCCCCTCTTCAGGGTGCCCCACGTGCCAGCAATTTACCAGTTGAGAGGGCAGGCCCTTGGCTCGTAGCCCTCTCTCAAAGCCGCTGGCAATATTTCCTGTGATGAGGTAAGAGCAAACTAGGATTATGCTCCCTTTTCCCCCCCTTCAAGAATGTTCTCAGGAACTTGCCACTATAGGGCAAGTTCCTGCATGATTCCCACAATCTCTTTTCTTCTTTCTGACAATTTTTCTCTTCTCATTTCCTGAAGGTTTGTTTTTTTACTAAAGTAAAGTTCCCAGGGTGTCTATGACTCTGGTATCTTGTCCAAGTTGCCATTATTTAGATATCAGCTTTCACGCTTTAGACAAATTTCTGGTAATTGTAAAATAGGACCTTTATGCTTTATGAAATGAGCTTAGGGGCAGCCGCAAACCCAATTCTGAAGGGTTTCATCCCAGAGCAAAACAGCACACTTATTTGGCAATCTCTCCCAAATTGGTTTAGATGTGGGAAATGGAAAATGGCTGCAGTTCATGGACTGGAAATCTTCTTTCTCATCCTATAATACTGGTCTCCCCTCATTATTTGTATTTTGTTCCAATGTACATTATCTTGCATTGGTTGTGAGGTTGTGGCATATTGTTGGATAAGGTAGAGAAAGCTTTTATCTGCACCCAAGCCTTACTATATGAGCTTAGGAACAGGAATGTCTGATGGTGGCTGAGTGATTTAAAACCTGGATGAATCTTACTTCAAAATAGAAGTTTCTCCCTCGGAGGAAAGGAGGATGGATAGATGATGGTGATATTTACATGTGATACAGCACTTTTCATGTCGGCTGGGCATCTCAAAGCACCTCACAGATTGCCCTGTAAAGTGTAGGTACTGTGTTTTGTGGGCAAATGAGATGATATCTGCATTTGATTCTAACTGCCTTTTCTTTAAACCTAGGAATGCACAAAAAATCTGTGGAGCCAATGGTGAAGAGCAAAAGCAATGATAATCTAAGGGAGAATTTATTGGAGACCAATAAAGAGGGATTGCAACCTGAGGAAGGCACAGTTGATGTGGTGGAAGAAGAAAACATAGCCTTAGACCTCTCCAGCACGGAAAAGTTTCAGAATAAGAACAGCGCTTTGAAACCACACAGCTCCAGACAACCTGAGGTGGAGTGTGGAGCTAGCGAACCAAAAGAGAATGAAAGTTAAACTGTCAGAATACTGATTATTTTTTTTTGGAACAGATGGGCACAATGTGGGAAAGCACACAGAGGAAATGCACTCACCTCACTTAAATAAAATTCCCACTGTGTTAAGTACAAAAGTGATGATGGCAAACCAGAACGATAACTACTTACCTCTGCAAATTAAGCTATTGGCTTGGTGGTCATCGCCTGATCTACAAATAGTGTAATACATTTAACTAGCTCCCAATACATGCACAAGGCCAGCATAGAATTAATATACAGAATTTCCCAGTAAAAGACACTTGCTCTTGTCCTGCCTTATCTTTGGTCAGGCAACCCAGCCTTCCTATGAGTGGAGGCTTCTCCTTTGAGAAGTTCCCTGTGCTACATCTGGCTGGGTGGTAGCAAATGCAAACGCCAATGGTAAAGCAATAGCCCCAGTGTTTGAAAGTATTGCATTGAGTAGGAAACCAGGGAATGCTCAGTGGAGTACCTTATTGATGTACAAATGCACTGTGCAATTGAATGGTAAGAGGCAATGACAATTCCCTAATTTCAACCAGTTTTTTTTGGGTGGTGCATAGGGAGGTCAGAGCAGAAGTGACCTGCAAGAAGGGAGGATCAGCCCTAATCAGTCATACGCATCTTCTAGTGGTCGAATTGAGGCCAGTGATCCTGATGTTGCCTCTTGCTATGTCGAGAAAATGATTAACAATCCTTTTTGATGTAGCATCTTTCACACCAGGATGATGTTCCGAAGGGCTTCACAGGATGCACTGTGAAGTGCAGTGACTATTTGTGGGTGAACCTTCACAAACTGGGAGTAGAAGACTTTCTGAGTTTTTTCCATGGAGAGTAATGTGGGCCAAAGTTTGTTGTATAATGTAGACTGGAGGGCAAACAGAGAAACTAATGCTAGAATGGAGTCCATTACATTCCGTAACGTAGTCTCAGGGTTCATCTTATTTATAAACCAGGAGAGGATTTACGGTGCATTTCAACCTTGACTTATCTTGCAATCTTGTAACGCACTCCTAACCAGCTAGTAATCTAATTGTACCAAATAACTTTGTTCACTCTGATTTTATACAGACTCTACCCAGTTCACAAAGCATAATGCTGTGTAACATGCCTAAAATTGCCCCACTTATTCATGTTTCAGTGCTCAGTGAACTGAACACAAGGCAGTAAATAGCACAATTAGATGTTGGACTTTTTGCACATTGCTAGTTTCTTTTTAAAAGATTTCTGTTGCTTTTTTAAAATTGTACTTTTGTCTTTGATTCAATTGTAGAATGAACAATTACACGTACTGTAATTGCTGAAGACTTGATAAATTCATTATTTAAAGCTTTGGTTACCTCACTTTTTATGACTGTGCTTGCTCTATGCTACCATGGGGAGTTGCACGCTGTTCTAGATTGTGAATATATTTTGGAAACGTCATGAATCTAAATATCTATTGAAGTAAATAGTTTTTATTCCGGCAAAATTGTATTCTGCTGGGAGTCATTGCAAGGATCATTTTGTTAACCAGCTTTGCAAAACGTTCTTTTTTTCAAAAAAGATTCTGGGCATCTAATGATCAGACAGGCATAGTACAAATTGGTCATTTTTACAGATGGTTTGATGACGCTTTAATATTCAAAATCGACTCCTGAGGCCTGAAATTCTTGCCAGTCTTTGCCAGTAAACTCAATTTGTCCTGAAACTTAAGATTGCTCAAAATTGTGGGAAAATTCTTAGTTTGGAGACTTTTTACTGCCTCCCCGGAAGTTCTTAATGGTGATATTTATTTATGCACATTTAGCCAATGTTGAATTCCAAATTAAGAGTGATCTTAAATTTTAAAATGTGATTACTCACTAAGACTAGGTGGAATTTTGTGGTTCCAATCTGGTTTTGGATGAACCGCAAAACTAGATGCTTTTGTGTCTTGCAATTGGCAAGCACCTCACTGACCGCACGCAAGAGGTTGTTTAATGGTCGTGAGAGGTGTCACTGAACCTGCTCCGTGGGGCAGAAGCAGTTATGGCCGGGTGTTTTTATATTGCTGGTTACTCTGGAATTGATTTCTGGAAAGAACTGATTATAAGACCCAAACTGCAAATGTCATAATTTTACAACTGACCTCAAAACTTTTTTTCAAAAAAGTGAGACCATATTTAATGAGATTGAAGTGAAACTAAGAATGTGGTTGCATGGTCTGAGCAAGTGAAGGCAGAATATGATTGCACGATTTGAATAGCAGTTGTCTTGAGTTGGGCTGACTGTCCTGTTGCAACACACTGCTCTCCTTACATGCAGCCTTGCCTACAAAGAAGGCCTAATGTAAGCATTACGTATCTTGATGAATCTTTTGGGATTACGTTTCCAATTGAGACAATGCAACACCACTGTATAAAGAACATGTCTGTAGAAAATGCAAGTCTTCCAGGATTTTCTCTTTAGGTATAGTTTTGTACAAGTGTATCTTTCTTGATATTCTATGCACAATTGTCCATTGCTGACAGAACATAGCCTGTATTGTATTTGAGGTTTAAAAAAAGTTAAGCCATATAGACTCTTAAACTGTTTGATTGTGTGGAAATATTCTTGGATATGAAAAGTATAAATTATTCTATGGCACAAAATAAAGCCGTGAAACTGGTTTGAATTTGGATCAGTTTTGGTCCAGTCAAGTTTGTCAGGAAGCACTTTTGTTGTATAGATATATGAAACATTTTACATGTAATCTATTTTCATTTCATAATTCAAATGTTTTAGGTGCTGATGTGTGAATCACAATAAACTTCAGTTTTGTGTAAAAATGTCATTTCTTGTATCTTGTTTTACCCACAAAATACATAGTCTACTTTACAGTACATTCTGTGAGGCGCTTTGAGACGTCTTTAAGACGTGATTAACCGCTTTATAAAATGCAAGTATTATTCACTATTTTCTATTTTATACATTTCTCTTACATTTCTGGTCAGCTAATTCTTGGAGCTGTGACCTATTAAAATGTCCCTCACAAGTAGGTCACAAATAGGTCAAACTTATGAATGCATATTTGATGTTGTATAAACATGAACTCAAAATATTACATTTGATGAGTTTGGTGGAAGAATCCCAGAGCTTGATCCACTCACTGAATGTAGAGAGACTCTAAACTGGAGAGCGGAGGTGAAGCTGTGGATGCTGAGACTGTCCCAAAGCAGCTGTGGAATGAGAGGGAATAGAAAAGGTAATGGAGAATGGTAAAGAGTAGGAAGAAAATAACAAGAGGAAAAGATTATACAAGTCACCTACAATTTACAGAATTTCAAAGTCTCCCTCCATCCTTATCCAAAGGCTTTGTTCCTTTTCATGACCTCCCAACAATGTTTATCCCTAATGTAAGAGAGCTCAGAGGTGTTTACCCCTGGAGAAAGTACATATAAAGATTCTCTGTAGAGTCTCGTAACGTACAACCCAAAACTATGCCACCACCAAAGGTACTGTAGTGTGTTGAAAGAGTCTGTTTATAGCAATGGCACTACTTTCACCAATGGTTCTGTTAAAGTTACAATACAATCACTCTGTAAATCACTGCCACCAACTAACTCTGTGACTGATCTCTGCTCTGTGATCTAATCTGTGTATTTCCTGTAGGATGTGGTGATTGTGAGCTGCAGTACAATGTGTATCCACTGGATGCCCTCAAGCTCCACACTTCATACCATTGCACATACTTCAAACTGAATCAAAGTCTCATAAAGCTGAATATTTCACCTCATCTCAACCTGTAAAACCAGTTTGTCTTAAATGTAAGATTGCACAGAATTGTGAATTTTTAAAATTCATCTTGAATTTGGAAGTTAACTTTCTGCCGTGCTTAAAAAAAGGATTCCAAATTAAGACTAGATTTACCAACTTTTCACAATTCCGTGCAATCTCATACTTTAAGACAAAATGATCTTGCAGGCTAAGACTAGATGAAATTTGGGGTCAATTGCACTTTTTCTTGGTCAGCTTGGGGTTAGTGGAAACCATCACCATGCTCAAACCAAACTATGCATGGAAATTCCTGTGTATTGCAATGGATTGTGCACTCTATCCCCAGAAGGATGCATCCTGCTCACTTAATTCCAGAGAATATTAGGCACAGGTTGACAAAAGCCAAGGCTTGGGGAATCCCAGAGTGTGCATTGGAATGGTGCTGGATCAGCTAAAACTGCATATTGAAAGGCACAAGCTTCCTGCTGTTTGTCCAGATAGGAGATTCAGGCTTTGGCTTGCAGATGAACAAGAGAAGATTGGGAAGAATCCCTGCCCACCAGGTGCCCTCCAAGTCCTGCCGATGAACCAGGCTAGTCTATCATCAGCAGTGCCCAGGAGTACCGTTGACTTGCCTGGCTCAAAAAACAGACTACCAAGACTGTCGGAGAGGGTTGATTCGATTCTGACAGTTTGAAGCCAGTTTAGCTCCAAGGAGACTCTCATTGAATGTTAAAGTACAGAATTTGCTATGTGGCCCAAAGTATTTTGAAAACTAGTTTGTGGAAGTATGACTAAAAATAGTGCAGTAATAATAATAATAATCCTTGCATTTGATATAGCGCTTTTCACGTCAGGAGGACGTCCCAAAGCGCTTCACAGAACACACTGTAAAATGAATTGACTGTATATTTGTGGGCGAACGCGGCAGCCAATTGCGCACAGCAATGTCCCACAAACAGTCGTAGATTAAAAATGACCAATTTAATTATTGTTTTTGGTTTTTTGGAGGGATTATTATTAGGCGTGTGGAGTAAGGAAACTTGCCCAAGGTTTTGCCCTGCCTGGAATTGAACTCAGGTCTCTCACTTGCAAAGCGAGTGCTCTAACCACTGAGCTACAGTACTCCACTCTCTGAGTGAAATAGGTATAAAAGATATGTTCCCAAAGGTTTGAAATGAACTCTTCATTAACCTGAGCCCAGGCTTAAGAGGCAGTGCAGAGAAATGAGGCTGATCCCTACTGATAAGAGGGATGAGCTAAGAGATAAACTTGGCTCTTCACCCTTCAAAGCATGGCTCAGAAGGACCTAATACAAGAAAATAAGATGTTAATGGGATTGAGAAAGTAAACCTAGCAAATTGCTTTCAGATTGCCAGGGAAGCATAGGCTCAGTGTTTTGAAGGGTAATTTAAGGACAGAGACCAGAAACTGTTTCTTTATATTGGAAGGTAATGAACAGCTGTAATGGGTCATCAGAAATGGTGGTTGGGTGGAATACTGGGTTCACTAAGAATGATTTGATACAATGAGTAGTTATGTTCTGAAAGCACATTTTTCAGATGATCCTCTCTTGTTGTCTTGCATTGTGAAATGATGCTGGATTGCCCTGACAGGCTCTGAATGGTTCATTCCATAGAAAATACTTTAAGCATATAACATTGCTGAGAGGTACCAAATTATTGTCACTATTCTTTGTAAGTGGGTTAAAGGCACCCAGACCAGAAAGTCACAGTGTGTGCTGAATTAGCTGACCTTATGTGGTGTGACCTCAGGCTCCTGGATTAACCTTGTTGAAAATAAAATTCAACAATCTCTTTTTGTTTTGAAGAATGTATACTATAACACTATGCCACTCACGAAAATAGAAATGTTTTAAAGATACTGCACTATTGTAGAATAATAATAATAATAATCCTTGCATTTGATATAGCGCTTTTCACGTCGGGAGGACGTCCCAAAGCGCTTCATAGAACACACTGTAAAGTGAATTGACTGCATATTTGGGCGAACGCGGCAGCCAATTGCGCACAGCAGTGTCCCACAAACAGTCGTAGATTGAAAATGACCAATTTATTATTGTTTTTGTTTTTTTGGAGGGATTATTATTAGGCTCTGTGTGGAGTAAGGAAACTTGCCCAAGGTTTCGCCCTCTGCCTGGAATGTTGTGTTTGCAGCCGGGAAGGATTCCACTGGAGGGTTGTCTTGTTCCAATTAATTCTCTCATTAAACTCCAAAGTGTGCCAAAGGTTTCCAGCTGCCAGTGGATACAATTCCAGCACAGATATTCACATAGTTATACAAAACACAGCTTCAACACATCCATGCTTGGTCATTCCATTTTTTTGGTCAACGGATCCCCCAAATAAAAGTGTCCACTTGCTCCATGGCTGTTTGTGAGACACTGCTGTCTGCAGAATGGCCGCTATGTTTCATCCACAAAGTACACAATCAATCCACTTCACAATATATTCCACAAAGTGCTTTGAGACATCTCAAAAACACGATAAGGCACTATACCAAATGCAAGGAACATATTATTATTATTCAGGTTTAGGAATGGTGAAAATTAAGTTTCCTGTTCCTAAGCTCTATCCAGAGACCCCATCTCTTTTTCCCTCAAACCCGCTGTAAAGTATATATATATATATAATAATAATAATAATAATAATCCTTGCATTTGATATAGCGCTTTTCACGTCGGGAGGACGTCCCAAAGCGCTTCACAGAACACACTGTAAAGTAAATTGACTGTATATTTGTGGGCGAACGCGGCAGCCAATTGCGCACAGCAATGTCCCACAAACAGTCGTAGATTGAAAATGACCAATTTATTATTGTTTTTGTTTTTTTGGAGGGATTATTATTAGGCTCTGTGTGGAGTAAGGAAACTTGCCCAAGGTTTCGCCCTCTGCCTGGAATTGAACTCAGGTCTCTCGCTTCAAAGCGAGTGCTCTAACCACTGAGCTACAGGACTCCATATATATATGGATATCAAATGAAGACAGAATTGGGCTTAGATTGTTTGTGGGACATTTCTGTATTCACCTACACACACACACCCAGTCACTACACTTTACAGCGAAGCTCTTTGAAATAAGTCGGCTTTATGTGTCAGCCTGGCTCAGCGGTAGGACTCTCATGTCTGAGTCAAAAGGTTGTGGCCTGGCCAACAGCCCTCCAAAAAAAATTGGTCGCTCACTCCAAGGCTGTTTATGGGACACTGGTGCGCACAACCGGTTACAAAAATACACAGTTAAACCACTTTTAGAGTATATCCCGTGAAGCGCTTTAAGATGTCGGGACGATGTGATAAGCGCTGTATCCAATGCAAGGGATTATTATGAGTGTATATCGCTGTAGGGCGGCATATCCAGTCCGTGCATTATCATTAATAAGTCACGAGTGGGCAATGTTACCTCACAATGTGAGGAGATGCATCACAATTTATTCACCACATTGCTCCCGAGGTGTGAAGGTGAGAGCAAAAATAAAGAACACGAGAGCCTCGTGGGTTTGCGCGGCCAAGAAATGAAGTTTGATGTCAGGTCGTTATTGTGATAGCCAATGGGAAAGTGTATTGTTGCTATTATTACCATTATTACTTCCCCGGCAGCAGCCCAGAGTTATTGGGCGCTTTGTTCGACGGTGCCGATGTCGGTGCTGCCCTTTAACGGGAAAGGGCAGCGCTTCCCCTCTGTTGAGAGTTGCACAACAGCTCAGGGCTGTGAATGCGCTTCCGCGACGCATCTGCTTCCCAGAGATAAGGTCTCCTCCTCCCATCTCAGTCACTGCAGCGGCGGCGGCGGCACAGCCGCACAGGGGGGGACATGGCAACCAGCGCCAAACTGCTCCGCATCTCCCTCCAGCACCACCACCACCACCACCACCTCCTCCTCCTTCTCCCCACTCCCACTCCCCGCGCCAACCCGAGGACTGTAGCGAGGACGAGGACCTGCGCCGCCCGGAGAGGGTATCAGCAGGTGAGGGGGCTCCAGGGCACACCTGCAGCCCCGGGCATCGCCTCTTACATGCCCGAGGCAGCCTCCTTCCCCGGGGTCAGGTCCTACTCGGATCTACTGGACTTCGCCATCAGAGATCCTGAGAGGTTCTGGGGCGCTCTGGCCCGGGAGAGGCTGCACTGGACCAAACCCTTCGAGCGGGTCCAGGACAGCGACTTCGGGAAAGGCTCGACCTCTTGGTTTCTGGGCGGACAACTCAATGTGTCAGGTACGAAACTTTCCGATCCCCATCACAGCGACGTGGCAGGTCATCTGCACTGTGCCACTCAAAGTGAAGGGAAGCATCTCTCCCTCTCCTTCTCCCTCTCCCTCTCCCTCCCTCTCTCTCTCTCACACACTACACTACACTGATCAATAATCTTTCTGGTCATAGTGTCCCATCGTATCAAATTTTTTTTTACTGTAAACTGGAACTTTGCTACTCTTGCAAAAGGCAAAAGGACTTATTGCAACACAGAAGGTCACACTTGAGAAACGAAACTAAAAATCTTAAGGGCTTCAAAAAAAACAAGACTTTTGTTTCCAAGCCGGTGACTATGAAGTTGAAACTTAAAAACAGTATATTTCAGCGTAAATGATGTGTGTGAGTCCTGTAGTTCAGTGGTGGAGAGCACTCGCTTTGCAAGCGAGAGACCTGGGTTCAATTCCAGGCAGAGGGCGAAACTTTGGGCAAGTTTCCTTACTCCACACAGAGCCTAATAATAATCCCTCCAAAACCAAAAACATTAATAAATTGGTCATTTTCAATCTACGACTGTTTGTGGGACATTGCTGTGCGCAATTGGCTGCCGCGTTCGCCCACAAATATACAGTCAATTCACTTTACAGTGTGTTCTGTGAAGCGCTTTGGGACGTCCTCCCGACGTGAAAAGCGCTATATCAAATCCAAGGATTATTATTATTATTATATATATTAGCGCAACTATTTTTGATGAAATATCTTCCATTTAAAAACAAACCAGCGTCCTATCCCACCTCCCGTTTGGAGCAGAGCTGATCCGAAGGTTTTATTCTTTTATTTTATTTTATCTTACCCGCCAGGAAGTCAGGGAAGGGCTGAAACACAACAACGAAAAGAACAAGACTACATAAGGATGAACATGATCTGTCTGGCTGTACAGGGCGTGTATCTGCAGGAGAAAGTAATAGTAGTGTTTGGCAACACACCATTCATTTACGAACAAGTTTGACCAGCTGACGTAAATTGTGTTATAGCACATAGTTAAAGCATTTATGTAATCTTGGCGAAAATGATGTACTCTTGGTGAAAGCCCAAAAAAAGTTTGGCGGAACTTTTTTTTGGCATAAAAATCGGTGGCTGCTTCTTTAACAGAAGTTGTTGCCATGAAGACAAACATTAGTCATTGTGGTCGCAGAGTGTAGGAAAAAGTGTTTAATAAACTGCGCAATCTATTTCAGTAAAGTTGCAGGGAGATGTTGTAATCACTCCTGAATGTGACAGAGCAGCTTGGACAACTCAAAGTGCTTTCACAGGATTGGCTTTAATGCAGGTATTTTTGTAGGTAAATATTTTGTGCATGCATGGGAGAGAAAGGGAATAGATGGATATGGAGGTAGGGAGGGGGAATTAAGATAGGCGGAAGCTCATGTGGCATATAAACACCAAATGACCTGTTTAGGTGCTGTAGATTCTATGTCAGTGTTTCTCAAATGTGGCCACTGTATGGAGGGCATGCATGATAGTGTAGTTCTCGTGCATGTTGAGCCCATTGCTGTGGAAGCGGCGGCTGGACTTCAGCTCCCAGGGAACGCCGTTCGGGGCAGGTAGCTGGTTTGGCGTGTAGGCTCTCTCCTTTGCTTTCTAGTAATGCTCAAAGGATGACAATTGGGAGTGGCTGATATTTATGCAGTGCCAATTATAATACCTCACTGCTGCCCTACTGTATCTGTCACCTACTGTATTTTAGTTACACAGTTTCCAATTGAGTTTGGTTTTGAGTGCGAATATTTCACCCACGCCAACTTCGGCAAAACTGGTCTGAAGATTTTAATGCTGCCGTTGTAGCCTATAGAGTTTCAGTGCCATTCTGGGAGAATGTGGTTTAACTTCATCTTAGTTAATTAACACATCATTTTGTTTTGCCCATAAAATATACAGTCAATTTACTTTATGGTATATTCTCTGAACGCTTTGAGACATCTCGCAGATGTGATAAGGCGCTATATCAAATGGAGCAAGAGAAATTCATTACAGTGGTAAATGACATCACAGGTAGGGTAAGATTTTTCCTGAGCAAAACACGGCTTCCCGTATTTGTTGCTTTATTATTATAACACTGAATATTTCCCCAAGTCGTTTCGGTCTTTACCTTTATGGCTCAGATGTATTGAGTACATTTCCCACATTGATTTCACCATTACATTGCAGCAGCATATTAATGTTTTAGGAAATCATATCAGTTGATTCATTTTATTTTTACTGCAAGGCATATAGAGGATACAAAAGCCTAGACCCAGGTGACATTTCTCCCCCAGATCTCTAGTTGGATATGAATGTAAGTTGTGATATTTGGGAAGAAGCAGCAAGGTGGATTTGTGGTTATCAAAGGCTATGTGTTTGAGAGTTGAAAGATTGATTTCACTATCACTCTCCACCCCAAAGTCAGCTTCTCTTACATGAAGGCCTGAATTAAACAATTATGTCCTGCAAGCCTGGTACTTGACACTGGATGTGTACCTCTGAAATATAATACTTTGGATGAAGAAGGGTCCGTAGATCTTTTGATCTCAGCCTTTCAGAGTACAACAACAACAACAACACAACCACTTGCGTTTATATCATGCACTTCACACAGAATAGCATCTCAGAACAATTAACAATGGTGGAGCTTGGCATTAAGACAGGGAGAATGATGGAAAGGAAATATCTTAAGGTGCGATCTGTAGCCGGGCAAAGAGGTGGCAAGGCGAAAGGATTGATACAGGGTCTTCCAGAGTTTTGAGCACAGTGGTTGAAAGCACAGTCACTGTTGGTGGACTGGAAGGGTTGAGGCATGTGAAGAAGACTGGAGCTGGCTGAGTGATGGGAGTGGGGTAATGGTACTCCTGAGGAGAAAGGTACTATATAAGTGTAATTTTGTATTGTACTGTAATGGTAGGTTTGAGAGATAGGGACGTGCTAGGGTATAGTCCTCTGGTCCTCCCATTGCAACAACCAGCTTATATGGGTCCTGGCCCATTCTTGAAATTATTTACCCTCTGTAAATAAATACTTCCTAGTGTCTGTCCTGAAAGTGTCCTTTGCATCCTTAAACCTGTGCCTTCGCCTTCTTGCTGTAACTGAAAGCATTGTGCTGAGTTTACTTTTTGAATCATACATCTATAAAATCCAATTTGAGATAGCTTGTTCAAGGCTAAAGAGCCCTACCTTATTTAATCAATCTTTATAGATCATCTCTGAATGGCATGCAGAGGATAGTTGGATATGAATGGTAATGTGTGGCACAGGCTATATGTCAAATCTTGTTGGCAGAAATGGTTGCTGTGATTGCTTTCAAAAACAGTCACTACAATTGATAATCACTGCATTGGCATTAAATGATATCTTTCTTCAAAGGTTATCATTAAACCTTCAGTATTTACGTTTATTTGTTCACAGTGAACTGCTTGGATCGACATGTAAAGGACTCCCCCAACAGAGTGGCTTTGATCTGGGAACGGGATGAACCAGGGACTGAGTTGAGGATCACATACAGGTACAATCTTCACAATGTCCATATCCACACGCTTGACTATATCTGCACAAGGCTCTGATGTGAAAGTCAAGTTTGGCCTCAATGTTGGGAATTTTTTTCACTCCAACACAGTGCTTTGGGGAGGTGCTGTGCTTCGATGAGACGTCAGCCAAGGTTCTGTCTGTTCTGTCTGCCTGTTCAGGAGGACGTTAAAGATCCCACTATTCGAAAAGAGAAGGGAGTTTCTCCCGGTGTGCTGGCCAACAATCCCCCAAATAATATTGATCGTTCATTCCTTGGCTGTTTGTGGGACATTGGTGGGCACAATTGGCTCTTGCATTTCCTTACAAAACACACCGTCATTACATTTTAAAGTAAATCCAATGAAGTGCTTTGAGACATCTCAATGACTTACATTCGGATGCACTGAATTCATCACTGTTACTACTAGAAAAGCAGGAGCTACTAAATGAGGTAAGAATACGGAGAAAAAGGGCTAAGGTTTCTTGATTGAAATGTCCAATGATGGACTTAATTTCATTTACAGCTGCGAGCAGGTCTATAGTTAAAAAAGGAATACTCTCTTTTGTAGGGAACTTCTGGAAACTACGTGCCGTATTGCCAACACCTTGAAGCGACATGGTGTGCAGAAGGGGGACACAGTTGCTATATACATGCCCGTGTCCCCTGTGGCAGTGGCTGCCATGCTTGCTTGTGCCAGAATCGGTGCTATTCACTCAGTGATCTTTGCTGGGTTCAGCAGTCAAGCGTTGTCTACAAGAATCAATGACGGTATGTGAACAAGGTGTTTTATTTAGAGGATTCCCTAGAACGTTTATTTATTATACATTTCAATAGATTTTCCATCAGAGTATTATTAAGCCCTGTGTTAAGACTTGAGCTCATAGTCTAGGCTGACTCTCCAATGCAGTGCTCGGGGAGTGCTGTATTGCCAGAGCACCTGAGTTCAGATGAGATGTTGTTTCTCCTACAACTAGGGCTACTCTTGAAGGCTTTGCATTCCATGAAATGCTCCAAACCCACCTGCAGGAAATCAGCAGGGTTGAAATATTGATCTGTTTTGCAGCAGTGTATCATTCTATTTGTCTTCATTATCCAGCACAATGCAAGACAATCATCACCTGTAATCAAAGTGTCAGAGGCGGTCGCATTATTGAGCTGAAGAAAACTGTAGATGAGGCAGTAAAGATGTGTCCAACAGTGAAACGTGTCTTTGTAGAGCAGAGAACAGAAAACAAGGTTCAGATGAATGACATTGACATACCCCTTGAAGAGGTAAGTAATATTTAAAATTATACTTGCTGTTTAAACTTAAATCACGTAATAGCATCTGATAACACTACTGGGAGGAAATGAGGTGAGGCTAGCAACTATAGGGGATGGGCACCGGTATGTAGCAGTAGAAGGGATCATTGTGATATTATTCAAGATGACAATCCTTGCACTTCAAAGTAACTAATTGTGCAAAGATCCTTGAGATGTTTTGATGTGATAAGGCATGATTGTATATCAAATATATCCTTCACAATATATCCTTTGAAGCACTTTGAGACTTCTCAATAACATGATAAGGCGCTATATTAAATATAAGGATTATTATTGTTAGGTTCAAGTATTATATGGAATAAACTAGAACAAACAACGGTATAATAAATGAAGACAGGAGATTTCTTTTCCACTGTATATTTCCCCTCTTGTACTTCCTCACCATATTATTAGATAGAACAACTTGCATTTGGATACAACAACTTGGATAGTGATGTATATAGTGCTTCATTCAATGTGATTGTTTTGAGGTGTTTATTTGTAGCTTCTTTCACCCCACAACTTTGGCTGCTCTTGAAAGGAGTCCTGACAGCTTGGTCAAATGACTCAAATAAACACGAGTTATAATAGACCACATAGAATGTTTGCCTACAAATAATAATCACAACCCTTACATTTGGTATAGCGCCTTTCACGTCAGGAGGACATCCCAAAACATTTTACAGGATATATTGTAAATTGGAATGATTCTGTATATTGTGGGCGAATACATGGTCACTATACTTTACAGAAAAATTTAGTGAAAGTCCTTTGAAACCTTTTGATGCCATAATTGTAGATTATGGATTTAGAGTAGGACTACAGAGGTCCTGCTCCTGAACCAATAACAAGAATTATTGTTATAAATTATTATAAAAATGAAAGAAAAAAATGGATAATCCTAATCCAAATACAATGATTATTAATAAGGTGGATGTATCACAACCAAATCCATAATTTGACTCAGGCTCAAGCCAACCTGACTCGAAACTGGGGCAAGTACAAGCCATTGGCAGGCAATGTGCTCCTCACTCTCTGGAACGGTAATTGTTACCCATAAATATACAAGTGAAGTCAGGAAGCTTCTTAAACATCAGCAGCAAGACAAAGCTTGAGAGGTGACTTGTGTGTTGGCTGTTTTACAGGAGATGAAGAAGGAGGAGGCAGTTTGTGATCCTGAGCCCATGGACAGTGAAGACATGCTCTTCATGCTGTACACCTCTGGAAGTACAGGACAGCCCAAGGGCCTGGTGCACACACAGGCTGGCTATCTGCTGTACACATCTATTACCCACAAGGTAGCCTAGAACAGAATTTTTTTTCTTAACAGTATCCTGGATTGCTTTCACGGGCCGGAGGGGACTTCCTCCTGAAGTGAAAGACACTATATACAAGTAAATTTGTATGTAAATTTATATTGTATTGTAGCACTTTTGCCTCTGAGTCAGACAGTTGTGGGTTCAAGCAACACCATGTCAGAATGTTGAGCTCACCTGACACTCCAATGCAATACTGGGGTTGTAAAGAGGTGTTGTACTTCAGATGAAATGTTAAACTGGGATCAACTTCTGGCTAGGGTCAGTTTTATTGCTAGTTATTTGCTCCCAACGTGTAACATAAGTTGTTTTCTTTCAGTATGTGTTTGAATACCAGCAAGGTGATGTTTTTGGCTGTGTGGCCGATATTGGATGGATTACAGGACACAGTTACGTGGTCTATGGTCCTCTCTGCAACGGTGGTACCTCTGTACTGTTTGAAAGTACTCCAGTCTACCCACATCCAGGTGAGCAAGTGAGATATTACATAGAAAATTAAGACACAGAAGTTTATGCTGTTATTGCAATTAGTACATTAACAGGAAAACTGAAAAACTTACAATATTTCCCATACGCCACCCCATCCCTTAGAACCACTGTCCTATAACGTTACCTCTTGTACAACCACACTACAGTTGTGAACCCTAAAAGAAGAACGATTCACTAGGAATTACTAAGCAAAATTCATCTGTGGTGAATTTTCAATTGTGGATTTAGAATAGGACTACAGAGGTCCTGCTCCTGAACCAATAACAAGAATTATTGTTATAAATGATTATCAAAATGAAAAAAAAGGATAATCTTCAGAAATTAACTTTCCAATATATCGATGTGTTGTAAAGTATATTGTAAATGTCAAGCATTCTCATGCTAGTAACTGGATTGGCATTAATCCAGCTCTGGGAGGCAAAAGCCTAGCATTACTGTACTGCACCTCTATTATGTTTTGTTTAATCAGGTAGATATTGGGAGACTGTTGAACGGTTAAGAATCAATCAGTTTTATGGTGCTCCAACTGCCATCCGCCTGCTGCTAAAGTATGGAGACAGCTGGGTGACGAAGTATGACCGATCATCCCTGAAGGTTCTGGGCACTGGTAAGCTTCTGCAGTTTTTACATTATCTATTCCCTTAGGTGTTAGCTTCCAGTGCTTCCATTCTCTCGGTGAGCCACATGGAGGAAGAAGCTTTCGTGAGCCGACATGACGCACGCTGGTTACAGGGAGTTGTTTTTTTTGAGCTCTGAACAACAATTAATGACTCATGTTGTCATCTATGCATTTTAATCCCAGTATGGGGTGTCAGCCTGGCTCTATTCCCTCTGTCTCTCTCTTCTGAATCAGAACGTTGTGGGTTCAAGCCCCACTTCAGGCCTTTGAACTTGTATGGTTTAAACTGATATTCCTGTGCAGGCTGGGCGACAACAACAACAACAACAACAATAAAATTACACTTGTAAAGCGCCTTTCACGTCAGGAGGATGTCCCAAGGCACTGCATTTTCAGAGCTGCTGTCATTTGGTTGAGACATTAAACTGAGCTCCCATCTGCTTATTCAGGTGGATGTAAAAGATCCCAGGGAACTATTCAAAAAGGGAATATCTCCTTGTATCCTGGCCAACAATCCTTCGGGAAAAATTGGGCATTAACTTTATGGTGGTTTGTTGAACATTTCGGCGCTCAAATTGGATGGCGTGTTCGCCTACAAATACTGTCACCTTCGCTTTAAAATAAATCCTGTGAAGTGCTTTGAGATGAGCTCCCTAAGTGAAAGGCGTGATATCAAATGTCAAGATTATTATACCAATAACACTGTGATTTGGACATTAACCCTCTGCTGATTCACCCCAGCATCTTATTTGTCTCGAGTTACTGCAAACAATTATTCCCTAGTTGGTTATACATATATCCATAGTAACCCGCAGATCAGAGTTCAGTCAAACTTTGAAATACAAGTTTTGACTTATTAAGTGGCTTCACCTGAGATTGTCACTGTTCCCCTCCCCAGAGATGCTCTTCACCAGTCTCAACGTGATGTCTAGAACATAGAGAGGAAAGTAGCGATTGATGGGAGTCGTGGGATGGGATGAGGTTGTGATATTGATGGGATCCATGAATATTTTCATGTGTTAGACTATTCCTCCCAACTTAAAATAATAGCATTGATATTGGGAAGGGGGAATGTGTACTGTAAGCCTGGGAAACTCACTTGCTGTGCGCAATTGGCTGCCGCGTTCGCCCACAAATATACAGTCAATTAACTTTAAAGTGTGTTCTGTGAAGCGCTTTGGGACGTCCTCCCGACGTGAAAAGCGCTATATCAAATGCAAGGATTATTATTATTATTATTCTTAGACAATGCATTTAAGGGCACCTTGATTTAACCAGTCCTTTTATTCTTGCAGTTGGAGAACCTATTAACTATGATGCCTGGCAGTGGTACTGGAAGGTGGTGGGAGGAGAACGATGCACCCTCATAGATACCTGGTGGCAAACGGGTGAGAACCACTGTGATATGTTTAGAAATTAAGACAGGAGCAGCTCAAGCCATACTTGCTGAAACATACACTTTGAGGGTTATCAGTGAGCTGATTAATGCCCCATCCAACCTTCACTATTGAAAGTCGAAACTCCCCCAGGTACCACAACCATCTCTGCCGCCAAAAAACCCAAACCCGTCTGCTTGAGCGCAGATGGTGGAAAACTGGCCTGACAGTTCACCGCCACTATGGCTCGAGCATCCCCACAGCTACCATCGTTCTTTGAAATGGCCTTCCACTCCAACATCATCTTGGAGGCTAAACACAACATTAAAATCCTTTTTTCCACCACCCATTACCTCTTCCGTGCCCCCACTCAGGCCTCCTCAATTTTCGTATCAAATGCCGAGTGCAAGGAGGTCATGGACTTCTTTTCATCTAAAATACTTAACATCCGCCAGGCAGCCTCATCCACCTGCCTCTTGTCACCCACCACCACACCCTCTCTGTCCCTCTCACTCTTCCCATCATCTGCTCCTACCACCACCCCCATTCTACATTCCCCATCTCTCCCTCCTCCCTCACACCCACCATCACCTCCATGAAACCCACCACCTGCTGCCTTGACCCCCTTCCCACCAACTTGCTGGTCACCCAGCTCCTCCTCCTCTGCCACTTCTGGCTGACATCATCAACCAGTCCCTCTCCTCCGGATCAGTCCCTGCCTCCCTCAAAACTGCTGTCATCACCCCCTCCTCAAAAAACCTTCCCTAGATCCCTCAAAACCCAGCCCTATTTCTAACCTGCTCTTCCTCGCAAAAGTCCTTATTGTTTCAATCAATTTCGCGCACACCTCTCCTCCCACTCTCTCTTCGAACCCCTCCAGTCCGGTTTCCGCCCTGCCCACAGTACAGAGACTGCGCTTATGAACATCACAAACGACATCCTCTCTATCTGTGACCAGGGCTCCCTCTGCCTCCTTGTCCTCCTGGACCTCTCTGCCGCGTTCGACAGAATCGATCACGTCATCCTCCTCCACCACCTTTCCTCCGTCATCCAACTCAGTGGGACCGCACTCGCCTGGTTCGAGTCCTACTTCACAAACTGCCAGCAGTATATCTGCACAAATGGCTTCTCCTCCTGCTCTCACCCGGTTACCTGCGGGTACCCCAAGGATCCATCCTTGGCCCCCTGCTCTTTCTGATCTACATGCTCCCCCTTGGGGATGTTATCCGCAGACATGGGGTACACTTCCACATGTATGCAGACGACACCCAACTCTATTTTTCCACCTCTCTTTGTGACCCCCAATCCCCTGATGTTCTGTCAGCACTGCCTGTCAGACCTCAGGGGCTGGATGAGTGCAAATTTCCTTCAGCTGAACGTTGACAAGACGGAAGTCATACTCTTTGATTCTCGTCAACGTCTAAAATCTCACGGCTCTTACCTCCTCCACCTACCTGACCTCCCCCTAAAACTCTCCAAACCCGTACGCAAACTTGGCATCATGTTCAACCCCCAATTATCCTTCCTCCCCCATATCCGGTACCTCACCAGCACCGCTTTCTTCCACCTCTGACGCATTGCCCATCTCCGCCAATACCTCTCCCCAAAAGCCGCTGAAACCCTGGTCCATGCCCTTTTCACCTCTCAGCTGGACTACTCTAATGCCCTCCTCGCCGGTCTCCCATTCACTACCATCCATAAAATCCAAATCATTCAAAACTCTGCCGCCCGCATTCTCACCTGCACCAAACTCCGCTCCCCGATTACCCCAGTCCTTGCCAGACTGCACTGGCTGCCTGTCCCAGAGAGGATCGACTTCAAGATCCTCACCCTTGTCTTCAAATCCCTCCACTCCTCTGCACCCCCCTACCTCTCTGACCTCCTCTCTCCTCAAAACAGTACCCGTTGCCTTCGTTCCTGCAGGTCTGACCTCCTCATGGTCCCCCGAGTCCTCCACTCCACCCTCGGCAGCCGTGCCTTCAGCCACTATGCCCCGAGGCTCTGGAACTCCCTTCCTCACTCCTTTTGCCTCGCTCCTTCCCTTCCTATTTTCAGGTCTCTGCTGAAGACCTTTCTTTTCGACTGCCCTTTGGTCACCTTCCTCCCCCTCCCCCTGGCTTGGCCCTGGGATCCGTTACTGTGAAGCGCTCTGAGACGCCGTCCGGTGTGGAGGGTGCTATATAAATCCAAGTTGTTGTTGTTGTTATTCATCATTAAAACTCAATATGCACAGATTTCAGACATGGCAACATTGAGTTCTGCCTGTTAGTCTCAAAGATGTCATGAATCTGTTTAAGATTATGGTACAACAAACTTCATTCATACTGTGTCTTTCATTGTAAAAGAACATCTCAAAGCTCTTTGCAAAATGAGAATAATTTGAAATGAACTGTTATTTAGACAGTTAATTTGGATCAGCAAAGTCCCACAGAACCAATGAGATATTTCGATTCAGTTCAATTATTCTGAATTGTTCGGGGATTGAATTTGAATGAGGGCGGGATACAAGCCAGGGTAGATAGGGAAGACTCCCTTCTCTTCTTGGGAATATTGGTGCAGGATCTTTTACCGTTATTTAATAGCAGATGTGGACAGAAAAAGGTTAGTTTGTTATTTCTCCTCATGGCTTTCCCAAATGAGCATTGGTGAAGGCCAGAATTGGGGAAGGTGGCTGGTGCCACAGTGTCACATCTAACGTTTATTCAGACTCGAAGAGCAGATTAACATTAATCGAACCCAAAGGACAGCCAGAAAAACCAAAAAATCTATTTTAATGGCAAGAGGTCTGACCCTTTGTTCCTAGCTGAGATCCTGGCACTGATAATGTGCTATGGCCAGTTGCCAGTGGAACATTGGAGCCACTTGCTTCAGGGAGACGTGTACATTCCTCAATCCAGGAATGATTTAAATTCAACACTACAAAGGCTTTTATTATGCGAGCATATTACCCTCGCCGAAAAAGGCATAGGAAATGCACTAAAATAAGAAATGGTGGTAGCAAACCTCAAAAATACATCCACAAATTGTATTTCATATTTACTAACGACGTCCTCTCTATCTGTGACCAGGGTGCGCCTCCTTGTCCTCCTGAATCTCTCTGCCACGTTCGACGCAGTCGACCACGCCATCCTCCTCCACCACCTCTCCTCCCCCATCCACCTTAGTGAAACCGCACTTGCATGGTTCAAGTCCTACTTAGGCAACTGCCTCCATTTTATCTCGGCAAATGGTTTCTCTGTTTGTCACCTCCCGCCTGGAGAACTCAAACGCACTCCTCGCGGGCTCCCCAGCTCCCCTATTCAAAAGATCCAGCTCATTCAGAACTCTGCCGCCCGCATTCTTACCCGAACCAAACTCCATACCCACATCTCACCAGTTCTGGCCATCGACTTCAAGATCCTCCCACTTGTGTTCGAATCCCTTCACTCTCTGATCTCCCTACTTCTCCGATGTCCTCACTCCTCATTCCACCACTCGGCGCCTCCGCTTGACTGGCTCGGAGTCAGGCTCCGTTATTGTTAAGCGCTCTGAGACGCTACCCTGTGTGGAGGGCGCTATATAATTGCAAGTTGTTGTTGTTGTACTAGCAGTACTGGAAATTTATACAAGCCAGGATCATAGAAGTATTTGCATCATTATTATCAAGATATCATCAACCGCAAAATATAAGATAGACTAAACTAAAAATTCTTAATTGCAGTTGGACTCTCTTGTGAAAATAACAGTTATAATTTTGTCATTGGCAATGTGCTTTGTGTGTAATGTTGTTTTACTGTAAAGCAGGAAATGTTGCCACATTTTTCAGACTTCAATGGAAAATGACACAAGACACGCAGTGGTTGATGAAATTCAATGCAGGGAAATGTGAGATTGTCCCCTATGGATCCCCCAAAATAGAATATTTTCTAAATGGAAAGAAACTAAGAACTGTGGAAGCGCAAAGGGATTAGCAAATCACTAAAAACAAGCTCACAGGTCCAAAACGTTATCAAAAAAGCTACTGGAATGTTGGCCTTTATCTGAAGGAGCCTTGATTATAAAGGAGAGGAAATGATGCTTCAACTATGTCAATCCTTGGTCAGACTCTACCTGGAGTACTGTGTCTGTGTTCAGTTATGGGCCTAAAGGAAATAAATAAAAAAATTGTCAGGACAGGTTGCATAAACTTGGTCTCTATTCTCTTGAGTTGAGAAGGTTGAGCTGTGTTTTGATTCAGATTTTTTAAACAATAAAAGGATTCAATAGGGTAGATACAGAGAAACTATTTCCTCTGGTGGGGGAATCCAGAAAAGGGGGCATAATCTTAAAATTAGAGCTGTGCCATTTAGGAGTGACATTTTTCAGCCAAAGGATAGTGGAAATCTGGAACTCTCTCCCCCAGAAGTCTGTAGATGTTGGATAGATATTTGTTAGGTTAGGGTATTTAGGGCAGGTAATTGGACAAGGTACAGATCAGCCATGATCTTACAGAATAGTGGAACAGTCTAGAGGGAATGAATGTCCTCCTCCTGTTTCTAGGTTTATGTGCTGCTGGCAGATGGGGGGAAGCAGACCAGGATTGCACATTGCAGATGTGGGGTTGGATGAATAATCTGGAATTTTACCTTGATTGTTTTGGGGGATTGGGGAGTATCTATTGCAAAACCTTCCTCTGGGAGATAGAATGGGTTCGGGGGAACTTAGTACAGTCCATGGAATATGCAGACCCAATGGAATGAATGATCTTTTCCTCAACCCAGGCTTTCTTTTGGTCTTAAACTAAACTAAATTGTAAAGTGGAAAATACTTCAAAATTCTGATTTTTTCCCCTCTCCAAATGGCCCTTGTGGCATTTGTTTGCAGTTCTGTGTTTTTGTTGCTTGATGGCTTAGTAAGAAAAAACAGAACGCATGGAACCCAAGAAGAAAATTCAGGTCATCAAGCCCTCTCCTTCCACAAAGCTCACCATCATTGTGGGCACCACCTCTCCACACTGAGGTCGAATTTGCAATAATCCCAATTTGGGTGAGGGAAGGAAAATAGCCAGGACAACCAGAAGAAACTCCCTACTCATCTTCGAAATGGGGGCATATGATCTTTTAATGCATATCTGGATCACAAGGTAGATGGCGACAGAAAGTAGGGCTGGTTGCTTGGGAAGCGCAAAAAAACATTACAGAGCCAATTACAATCTCCCCAGTGTTTTTTTTACACACTTTGGCTTTTGGACAATAAAAGATCCCATGACACTACTTGAAAAGAGAAGGGAGTCTCTCCTGTCCTGGTCAACAATCCCTCAGATAAACACTGGTCATTCACTTCATGACTATTTGTGGGACACCATTGTAGCTACCACATTTGCCTACAAATACACAGCCACTAGACTTTACAGTAAATCCTGCAAAGTACTTTGAGGCATCTTGGTGAGGTGATTAGGCGCTATATCAAAATGCAAAGAATATTATGGTTATTACATCTTACTTTGCCTTTATCAATAGAGACGGGTGGAGTGTGTATCGCCCCACGACCTTCAAAGAAAGGAGCAGAAATTCTGCCAGCTATGCCTATGAGACCTATGTTTGGCATCAAACCTGTTCTAATGAATGAGAAGGTGAGTCTAACTAGGGTTTAAGGAATCATTGGAATAAATAGGTGATGATGAAAATACAATAATACAACTTAAATTTATATAGCTACTTTTATTGTACTATAAATATCTCAAATTGTTTATGAGATATAATTGATTAGACATGAAATTGGGAATATTATTATATAAGCAAACAGGCAGCTAATCATTGCCAGCAATGATAAATAGCAATGTGGTGCAATGTTATGCAATGTTCAGTAATGTAACAACATCCAATTAATTTGAAGTTCCAGGTAAATTTGGATTAGGAGGGGAATATAAGTCAGGAAACAGGATTTAACCATGAAAGAGACATCATTTTTCTTTGAAATATTGATTTCCCGCCATTTCCCTTTCAATCACAATACAGGTTTTGTGAAGCAGAGGTTTCTAATATTTGTTGTGTCCGAAGAAAGGGAAGCTTGTCATACATGGGCCCATTCTAACTCACTCGTAGAAGTGAAAAATGTCACAAATAGTTTTCATGGAGAGGTGCATGGTCCTAGTTTCCTAGTATCTTGACAGAGGAGGATAATGAGCAGGGTGGGTGGCGGGGGAGGGAAGTTCACCAGTGGTGGAAAATTGGGGAAACTAAGAAAATACTGGTTTCACGCTGCAGTACAGATTGACTTACAAGTGAAAGTGATGGAATAATTCACATATATTGACTGTGCACATTGCACACTCTCCAGCTGTTCCTTTTCCACAGTGCCTTGTGTTTCTGCGTTGGGGATAAGAATAAACTGTGAAGCTCCCACTTGGTCTAGTGTTATTACTACATGGGTTTATTTTTGTCAGGGCAGTTAGAAACATAACAGGTGCTTTAAACCTACATATTTATGTGAAGCAACTTGCTCTGCTTTCCTGAACACTTTGTGTAGTTATCTGGAAGGTCTCTTGATTGGGGATTAATGTTTGAAATGTGAAGCCCCAACAGCCTTGCAAACATCAACATGCCTGAAAGTTGGCTCAAACACTAGCTCCCTAGATTATATTAGAAGAGATAAATCTCACATGGCTTTAGCTCTGGACATGCTGTTTGCTTCTGCATTTTCTCAGGTCGCAGATTAGAAATATATCAATACTGACAGTCCATGAGGGAGTAGAAGTTTGGATGAATCTCTAGCCAAATTATTAAAATATATGCAGGAATTGATTGAGATCATTCTGGAGACTGAAAGGATACTGGGAAACCGGTGATAAACCATTCCATAGATCTGAATAAATCATGTATATATACTGTATATGTATATTTGTGCCTGTACATTTGAAAATAGGAAGTAGCCTCAGTCCATCTGTTCAGTGATTGCAAATAATTATAGTAATAATAATCCTTGAGTTTGATAAAGCATTTCACATTGGGAGGATGAATCAAAATGCTTCACAGGATTTACTGTAAAATACAGGTATTGTGTATTTTGTAGGCAAATGTGACACCCAATTTATACACAGCAATGTCTCACATACAGTCATGATCTAAATAAACGGTTTTATTTTATATTTTGTATTGCTTCTAACAAATCATTAACAAATAGATAAGAATGGTTCTAAGATATGGCCTGAAAAAGGAAGTGGCCAAGACTATTTTGATTGTGCATTTGTTGGGGTCTCCGGAGTCCCACAAGTCAGAGTGATTCAGTTTTGTTATGGACTCTGGGGTCTGTCTTTCTCAAAGAATGTTCACCATGCATGCAAATGTCTTGACATCATTGTGTAAAGACTTTGTTGTGATGTTCACTTATCCAGTGATGATAGATAGAGCATTGGCACTAACTCCTTCATGTTTTTACACTCCTTTTCTCAGTACAGGAACCCTAGAGCCACCTGAACTCCCAAGAACTCTTGATAAACAAAACTGATCATTCACTTCATGGCTCTTTGTAGAACACTGCTGCGCGCATATTGTCTGCTTAGTTTGCCTCCAAAATATACAATCACTACACCTTACAGTATATCCTGTGAAATGCTTGGAGATGGTCTCTCAACTTGAAAGGTCCAGTCTCAAAATGCAAGGATTATTTAAAAATGTTGATGTATCTTCCTTTACTGACTGGCAACGCTAGGGGAGTAAATGGTTACACATGTTAATGCAATAATGCTGTTCCTTGTCATGATCAGTCATTAAACGGAGAGAGGTGCCTGTCTTTTGTTCTTTTGTTCAAACAGCTATGGGAACTGAGGTTACTAGAGCTGTTGTAAAATAAAGAGTAGTTGTTTGAGTTTGTCTTTGGTATCAATGTGACCTACATTTACATTCGCCACTTTTTCTTTTCACTTCTCTTAAAGGGGAAGTGCATCCATCTTAATTGCCACATAATCATAACGTCACCAGTTGAGTCTTTTGCTGTTTCCATAGAACAGATGTCAAAACTGTCAACTAATCCTGATAGACTGGATTAATTTGATTTATACCAATGTATTTTGACTAATGACGATAACAGGCAGATGTCCTTGTATCCTCGTGAGTGGTTCCTTTACCTGATGAGCTTTAATCAACTCTAGTTACCAATGTCCCTTCCTGTGCAGGGTGGACGTATGGATGAGAATGATACATCTGGTGCCCTGTGTATTGCACAGTCTTGGCCTGGCATTGCAAGAACCATCTATGGGGATCATCAGAAATACCTAAATTCATACTTCAAAAGGTTTCCAGGTAAGTCTGGAACAATATAGAATTTGGGAAAATGTTTCCAAATAAACCTCCTGCAGTAACAAGCTCTGGATTGCTGTGAAAGCATTGACTATATTTGCTTGAGTTGGGAGCAAGTTGATAGTCAGTGACTTTCCCTCTCTTTTCTGTTACCCTCACCCGTGGGAAGTGATGGTGGGGTGGAGTGGGAGGGTATGGGAAATATCAGGAGCTGGAGTGAGATCTGTTCACTTTGTGCTAGGCATGGTTGTGGCTGAGGGGGGAAACCTGTCAGTGGTGTTTCTCAGCTGTCAGGGGAGACACAGCAATAGGTTTTCTGTGTGAGACACTTTGAGATGGTTTCCTGAGGTGAAAGGTGCTACATAAGTTGTCGTTGTTTTCCTTTGCTGTGTTTAGAAGAGGTAGAGTGTGCGGATAGTTGAACTGTGCTTAGCAATTTCTCGAAGCAAAGAGGCTGAGATCAGGAACTCAAGAGCAAGTGGAGACATTGAACCTATATCTCTCCACTTTGGGCACCATTAACAATGTCCACCACTCCTCTGGCATCATTCACATCACCAAATGTTGAATCATATTTTTATTTTTCAAGTTGTCAAATGCAGTTTAATTCAGTGACATCGCATTTCAATATCAATTGAAGGTTACTGTAAAGTAAAAAGGATTTTCCACTTTTAGTTTATAGCAAATAAAACAAACTTTGTTGTATTAGTTATTTCCCCAGATGCACAATTTTTTAAACAAGGCAATATGGTGATGAACACATGATTGATTTGGTGATTTTTGATCTGGATAAGAACTGAGAATACACATGACCTCGTGCTAATTGACTATTCAGTTAGCACTCAGCAAGGACTGAAAAAAACTACACTCATGTTAGGAGGCAGGAGTTCAGTTCAATAGCTTTATAGATGCCATGAATCAAGAGAGTAAAGTTCAAGTGCATCATAAAAAAACAACACAAGCTTGAGAATAAATTCTTGCTCTTAACAAAAGACTACAGTAATTATTCTTTATGACAAAATTCAAGCAATTAAACAATTTATCAGTTTGAGTGCTGGATGTGGTAGAGACAGTGGGTTAAAGGGCAGTTAAAATTTTAAAAAATCCTTGTTTTAATATCCAGAGTCTTAGAAGGCAAAATCAGGGAGGTTATGTTGAACTTGTGCCAGAAAAAATAAATAAATTTGGTCACTCAATCCACAACTGTTTGTGGGACATTGCACAATTGGCTGCCGTGTTTTCCCCACAAAATACAGTTAATCCACTTTACAGTATATTCTGTGAAGCGCTTTGAGACTTCTCAATGACATGATAAGGTGCAATATCAAATGTAAGGATTATTATTATTATATAGTTATATTATTGTGTAGTTTTGGGCACCCTATTAGTGCTCTGAGATTCTTCCCTGTGGAATGATGGAGTGCTATATAAATGCAAGTTGTTATATTATAGAAAGAATATATAAAAAACAGATAAGGTGCTGCATAAATTCACTGGGATGTTGCTATGGAGGAAGATTTCAGTTACGAAGAGAGCTTGAGAAGTTAGGGCTTTTTTCACTAAGACTGAGACCTGATGGCATATCTTCAAAATTATGATAGGGAGCAACACAGACAGGATCTGAGGCTACACCTAACCAATCAACAACTCAATTGGCACCAGGGATGCTGAGGAGTGTGATGCAGTGAGGAACAATGGTAATTGCAAAGCATATTACTGAAGGTGTAGACAGGCAATTCAGTCACATCTTTGTCTATCTGTTTTCAGGCTATTACTTCACGGGGGATGGTGCATACAGGTCGAAGGATGGCTATTACCAAATCACTGGCCGCATGGATGACGTGATTAACATCAGTGGACATAGACTGGGGACAGCTGAGATAGAAAGTGCCCTGGTAAGGCCACTCCATGAGTAACCTCAGTTTTCAATGGGATAAAAAACAAGATTACATTTGTATAGCGCCTTTCACGTTGGGCGGATATGCCAAGGCGCTGGACAGTGTAAAGGATTTCAGACCCGAGCTGGGGTCGGGGGGGAGAAGGGAGGGGAGGGGGGGTGACCGATGGCATGGTCGAAGAGGAGGGTCTTGAGGTGGAACTTGAAGGAGACTAAGGAGGCGGTAAAGCAGAGTGATTGGGGGATGGAATTCCAGAGTGACTGAAGACTCTCCCACCAATGGTGGGACAAGTGGGTCGGGGGACGTGGAGCAGGCCAGAGGCGGCTGAGCGGAGGGAGTGGGCGGGTTAGTAGGGGGTTAGGAGGTCACAGAGGTACGGTGGGGTGAGGCCATGGCGGGCTTTGTAGCTGAGGACCAGAGTCTTGAACTGGATCCTCTGAGGTTAGGAAGCCAATTAAGTCGGGCGAGAATGGGGGAGATGGGGTCACGGAGTTTGGTGTGGGAGAGGACACGGGCTGCAGAGTTCTGGGTTATCTGTAGCCTGTGGAGGGAGGAGTTGGGAAGGCCGACAAGCAGGGCGTTTGCATAGTCAAGCCTGGAGGTGATGAAGGCACGAACAAGTGTTTCAGTGGCCTGAGGGGTGAGGTAGTGGCGGAGTCAGGCAATGTTACAGTGGTAACAGAGGGAAAAAGCAATTGTTGTGTACTATGCACAAAGCAAGTTGTCTACTGTACAATATAAAAGTCTTGATTCCATTTCTGCCACTGGAATCAGTCAGCCTTGTTATCATTCTCTATGTATTGAAGTAAACAGGTTGTTTCTTCTCTCTGTTTGGCTAAGTTATATTGTCTGTGACATGTTGTTCTCTGTCTTACTGTTTCTGGCTTTTTCTCCAGAATCCTTGCTTTATCTTCATTTTAGTCACTTTCTTTCCCTCGGTCCAAACACATTTCCCAGCATTTCATTATTCTTTGAAAATCTGAGCTCTGATGTACCACTGCTTAACTCATAACAAAGGGATACAACAATAACGCAGTATATCACTGTATCTTTTAGTCATCAGCAGGGCCAAGAGAAAATTGCAGGGATTTTTTTAAAAAATTGCAAAAGAATTGCAGCGAGTTGATTGGTGCTATTGAAGTATGTTTTACTGCCAACCCCCCTACATTTTTTCACTTTATTGATTAAAAACTAAACATAAAGAAATAATATATATTAGATTGTTGCAAAAAAAACATTTAAGGCTTTCTTTAATAAAAACTGGGTTGGAGGGGACGGGGGAAACCAGCGCTGGACTGAAGGGCCTGGAGATCCGCNAAAAAAAGCATTGCTCACCAAGCGTCCTGACTGTGGGGCTACAGGAGGTCACCTGGCTCTTAGGGCTCGTCACCGCACAGAGACACAGAGAGATACACACTCACAGACACAGAGAGACACACATTCACAGACAGAGAGTGAGACACACACTCACCGACACAGAGAGACACACACATACTCACAGACAGACACCCATACTCACAGACAGACACCCATACTCACAGACAGAAAGAGACACACACATACTCACAGACAGCGAGACACACATACTCACAGACAGAGAGAGATACACAACTTGCACATATAGACAGGAGAGAAACAGATACACTCACACAGAGACACTCACAAACACACACAGAGGAGAGATACAGATACACTTACACAAAGACACTCACAAACACACACAGAGGAGAGATACAGATACACTTACACAAAGACACTCACAAACACACACAGAGGAGAGACACAGAGTAAACTTCATTTTGTTACTGGTTTTTAGTGGAGGGAGCTGTTTATGGCGGATTTCGCGAAAAAAATTGTGGCCGCACTTTTCTACTGGCCCAGGTCATCAAAAAACAACCCTTCCAAGTCATAAAGCACCTAGTATTTATGTTTATCAACTGACCAAGTTTCTCAAATGTATCTTTTCATTCGACTTCAGCTACATTCCTGGCATTGCAAACACCTTGCTGAAGAATGCAATCATATTTGTGCTCTGCTTACACCCTGTGAAAAGCACCACATTTTTCTGATCAGTTTTGTTTGAACCATTCATTGCTTACAATGCAACAACTTCAAATTGAACTATCTTTGCTGACTCGGAGCTGTATTTTAACCCAAATCCAAGAAGTCAAGGGTCAGTGTTAATCAACTACACCACAGATCCAGAGTCCCCCTCTTTTCACAACCCTTTGCTCTTTCTGTTTCTCACTCTGTTCTATTTCTTATCCTTTTTCCTGCCTGTGCAGCTCTTGTGTGGAGGACTGTCTGCTCTACAGCCACACCCCTGGGTAACCAGAAAACTGCAGGAGAAAGTATTTTGGTAACATTTACATTTTAAGTTGGGTAACATGACCTGGATCTTCCTTTTCATCACCAGTGGTAAAAAGTCACTCTTATTGTCTCTAGTGCTTTCTACAGCATTTTAATGATAAGACTCCACTTTTCATAAGGGAGACAGTAGTAACACTACAAATAGGGAAATAACAACAACTTTCATTTATAGAGCACCTTCATATAGAATAGTGATTTGGAGGGAGTGATTTACAGTGGCAGGGTCCCAGAGGGAGATGGAAGACAGGGGAACAAGGGAGGTGACTATAGGCTTGGTTGAAGGAGTAGGTTTTAAGGCAGCATTTGAAGACAGATAGAGAAGGGACAAGGTGGAGAAGTCGAGGGAAGGAGCTCCAGAGGTTAGTACAACAACAGCAACAAGATTACATTTGTATAGCCCTTTCACGTCGGGAGGACGTCACAAGGCGCTGGACAGAGTACAGCATTTCAGACCCGAGCTGAGGTTGGGGGGGGTAAGGGAGGGGAGGGGAAGGGGGGTGGCCGATGGCATGGTCGAAGAGGAAGTGGAAAATACAGCTTGATTGTCACTTTCACTACCCCTTTACCTGGTCGGTTCATTAACCCTGTCAGGAAAATGGTTTGCCTGATGATGTGCACAGTAGTAATGTTCAGTCAATGTGCTGTGAGTAATGGGGTGAATCATTGGAAGTACTGCTCTGTTTCTCAATTTTAACCCGATCTTGAGATTTGTTTGTAATAGTGCTGAGTAGAGCAACCGGTCATCACAAATGCTGATTCTTACAAACTTCCCTTCTCCTCTCCCACACAACTGGACTTGACTCCTCAGTGGGAGTGTTGAATTTGGAAAGCTTAAGCCTTAAGTCAAAGAAAGCTTAAGTCAAAAATAGAACCGAAAATAATGAAAATCGTTGTAATTGATATAATGCCTATAACACGAAAACATCTCAAAGCTCTTCACGGATAATTGCTGTCAAGAGTAGTGACTATGTGTTTGTAGCAAATCAATACAATCTCAATACACAATACACTGAGGCGTCAAGACCAGTTGTGTGGGAGAGGAGAAGGGAAGTTTGTAAGAATCAGCATTGTGAGGACCGGTTGCTCTACTCAGCACTATTACAAGCAAACCTCAAGATCAAGTTGAAATTGAGAAACAGAGCAGTGCTTCCAATGATTCACCCCATTACTCACAGCACATTGACAGAACATTACTACTCTGCACGTCATCAGGCAAACCATTTTCCTGACAGGGTTAATGAACTGACCAGGTAAAGGGGTGGTGAAAGTGACAATCAAGCTGTTATTTTCTAGAATTGTAGACATTATACATGTTTAATCTGGTAAGTATATCAATATGAACATTTAACACATGTTACACATAATGAATGAATTATATTTAAGCAAACCTACCAATACACTAAAATAACGTCAAAATATACAACTTGTTTATTTTCTCATGAACAAAACATATTTTGCTGTCACCGTTAATACCAACAAATCAGTGCAAAATAAAATCACTGTTTTATGGTGTACAACACTGTGGGATTCACCAATGATAGCAATTATATAGCACCTTTCATATAGGGCAATAATGTCTCATATCGCTTTATCATGTCTTGTTTGCTAACACTACAGATATTTTATGATCAAATTGTAACGTAACGAATGCGGGGTGAAAAATGAAACATTGTATAACAGATTCGAAATGATATTACAGTAAACATGTTATGAAATATCGCATTTGTTGCGTGTTAGTGGTCAGTAAGTGATGGGAAATTTGGCGGGGATTGCCTTAAGCAGTCGAGTGGCTGATTGTGACAACACATTTCTGCTGATTTGTCTTCAGGACGAGCATCCTGATGTTCCAGAAACTGCGGTCGTTGGCTGTCCTCACCACATTAAAGGAGAAGGTGGGTGTCAGCAGCAGGAAGAGGACATTTATTTTTAAACCCATAAATACCATTCACATCTGATTCCAGGTTCAATTATAATCCAATAAGTTATGGTTCTTACTCTGGAAGCTGGTACTCTTGTGGCATGTTTGGAGACAGGGCTGCGTGTTGTCATCATGTAGTCATGTTGACTTAAACTCTTGGGCTAAAAATAAACAGTATATTAGCTCAATTGGAAATTGACCAGTATACTTACTAAAGAATCCTGTTAGAAATCTCTGAGTATTACACCTCATAATGAGAAAAAATAGGAAATCTGACAGAAACATAGCTTTTTTGGCTGCTCTCTTCATAATGAGAAAAAATGGGAAATCTGACAGAAACATAGCTTATTTGGCTGCCCTCTTCTGGATTGTGATCTGATCTCATCGTTCAGCTCTGCAAAGAGCCAATGCAGTGTTGGGACCACTTGGTGTCTCTAGTGATTCGCTGCTCTTTTCTCTTGGATTGTTAATACAAATCGGGGTAGAACCTGTGCAAAACATGCTGCAGTCTAGTTTCCGATACAGCGTTGATTGATTTTTATCCATCCATCCGTCCGTCCGTCCGTCCATCCATCCATCCATCCAAAGATACACGTCCCTGCCCTGACCTGTCTCTTCTGTATTTTCTTTCAGGTGCGTTTGCCTTTGTGGTTCTAAAGGACACCATTTCCAAGACAGAACCGGCCATTGTTGAAGATCTCAAATCTATTGTGGCAGCTAAAATAGCAAAGTATGCTGTTCCTGATCAAATTCTGGTGAGTTCTGGTGGCTTTTAGGTGCAGCTGTAACACAGTCAAACATGCTTCACTTATTACCAGGAAAGATATCATCCTCCGTTTGTTGGATTCATAATTGGTCGTTATTTTTGTTGCATGTTATTCCTGCCTCAAATAATCACCTGAAAATGAAGGTGCTTTCACCACCACAACATAAGGTGGCATTGGCTATAGAAAAAGGATGACATATCTTGACTTTAAGCAGGGTGTGATTGAAAATTGGGTTGTTTGGGGTTGAATTAAATAATGCAAGTTGTAAGAAGTCTTCCAGTTTACAAAATTCGGTAACCCATGAAGTACAGTACTCTGATTTTCCTGCACTTTGTGTCCAAGAAACAGAATATCAAAACTTCCAGTTGCTCCTTAAATAATAATAATCCTTGCATTTGATATAACGCATTATCATGTCTTCGAGATGTCTCAAAGTGCTTCACAGAATATACTGTAAAGTGAATTGACTGTATATTTTGTGAGTAAAACGAGGCAGCCAATTGCACACAGCAGTGTCCCACAAATAATCCTGGATTAAATGACCACATTATTATTTAAATCATTCCCACCCTCTCAGGCAGGCTGAAAATTGGTGAGCAACAACGGTGGAGCTGTCTGTGTAACTCTTGTCCTAATTTCAGATTGTCAAACGACTTCCCAAAACCCGATCCGGGAAGATCATGCGGCGAGTGTTGAAGAAAATAGTTACAGATCACCTAACCAACCAGGAGGACCTGAGCAGCATGGGGGACCTGAGCACCTTGGATGATCCCATGGTGATCAAAGAGATCGTTGAAGCTTATAAAATATTTAAAGAACATTGAGTTGAACCAGCCAATAAATTGGGGTGTGTGTAGCTCTATCGATCATGTTGCCTAGTATTACCTGACACATTAGCACTCTGTACTCTCTTAATGCTTAGCATTGTATTTAATATAAAAAGATTATTTTTGATCAGCCCAATGTCTGATATATGCCAGAACTTATCACCATGCTTAAGAGTATTTAAACCGGAGTGAGAGTTCCATGTGTGTCAATGTTGCATTCAGATTCAGTCCAGTTGGACCAGTTCTAACCTTAGAATTGATTCTCGAGCTGTATTCATTTTTTCACCCTCCCTCAATTTCCTGCCTGATCTTCTCCTGAAGACATCGACTGGAGTACAGTGCCCCAGTCCCCAAATACTTACTCGATGGAAATCAGACTTTTGCTGCTTTTTCCCCTCCCACAGACTGGGTATTGGGATCAGCCACACAGACTGGGTATTGGGATCAGCCACACAGACTGGGTATTGGGATTAGCCACACAGACTGGATATTGGGATCAGCCACACAGATTGGGCATTGAACCTGTAATATTTCTGCTCCCTAAGGTCAGCATTGCAGCAGGTAGTGCATTTATTCCATTAGACCATAAGATGTAGGAGACCATTCGGCCCCTCAAGCCTGCCCCGCCATTTAATAAGATCATGGCTGATCTTCTAACCCAATTCCATTTACCCGCCCTATCCCCATATTCCTTAATCCCACTATCCTTTAGAAATCTATCAACCTCAGTCTTAAATATGTTCAAGGACTGAGCATCCACAGCCTTCTGTATAGGCCAGTTAGTCTCACATCCGTGATAGGAAAAATTTTAGAATCGTTGATTAAGGATGTGGTAGTGCGGTACTTAGGGGAGCACAATATAATTAGGCCAAGTCAACATGGCTTTACAAAAGGGAAGTCATGTTTGACAAATCTCATAGAGTTTTTTGAGGATGTTTCCAGTAAACTAGATAAGGGTGAATCAGTGGATGTGGTCTATTTGGACTTTCAGAAGGCATTCGATAACGTGCCGCATAATAGGTTAGTCCAAAAGATAAGGGCCCATGGAATTGGGGGGAGCATATTAATGTGGATTGCGGAATGATTAATGGGTAGGAAACAAAGAGTAGGGATAAACGGGTCCTTTTCAGATTGGCGGGATGTGACTAGTGGAGTGCCAAAAGGATCAATCCTTGGGCCTCAGCTATTTACCATCTACATCAACAATCTAGATGAGGGCATCAAAGTTAATTCGCGGATGACACAAAACTAGGAGGAAGTGTCAACACAGAGGACTACATTTAAAAAAATGCAGCGAGACATAGATAGGTGATTGGGCAGATAGGTGGCAGATGAAGTATAATGTAAGGAAGTGCAAAGTCATCCACCTAGGTAGCAAAAACAGTAGAGCGGGTTATTTTTTAGAAGGGAGAGATTGGAATGTGTTAACGTCCAGAGGGACTTGGGTGTCCTTGTACACAAATCACAGAAAGGTAGTTTGCAGGTGCAGCAAACAATTAGGAAGGCGAATGGTATGTTAGCATTCATTATGAAAGGATTAGAGTATAAGAGTAGGGAAGTCTTGCTGCAACTGTATAGGGCCCTGGTGAGACCACACCTGGAATACTGTGTCCAGTTTTGGTCTCCTCATTTAAGGAAGGACGTACTTGCCTTGGAGGGGGTGCAGCATGGATTTACTAGGTTAGTGCCAGGGATGAAGGGGTTGAGTTATGAGCATAGGCTGACCAATTTGGGCCTATATTCTCTAGAATATAGAAGAATTAGAGGGGATCTTATAGAAACCTGTAAGATCATCAAAGGGCATGATAGAGCAGATAGTGGAAGATTGTTTCCCCTGGTTGGAGAAACTAAAACCAGGGGTCACAACCTTAAAATCAGAGGCCAGCCCTTTCGCACTGAGTTGAGGAAGAACTTCTTCACTCAAAGGGTGGTGAATGCATGGAACTCACTACCCCAAAGGGCTGTTGACGCTCAGTCCTTGAACATATTCAAGACTGAGATAGATAGATTTCTTATTGCAAAAGGGATTAAGGGATATGGGGATAAGGCAGGCTTAGGTTATTAGCTGGAGTTAGATTAGAAGATCAGCCATGATTGAATGGTGGGGCAGGCTCGAAGGGCCGAATGGCCTACTCCTGCTCCTCCATGTTATGTTATGTTTCTGGGGTAGAGAATTCCACAAATTCACTACCCTCTGAGTGAAGAAATGTTTCCTCAACTCAGTTTGAAAAGGCTGACCCTTAATCTTGAGACTATGACCCCTAGTTTTAGATTCTCCAACCAGGGGAAACAGTCTCACGGCATCTACCCTATCAAGAATCTTATAGGTTTCTATAAAATCACTTCTAATTCTTCTATATTCGTGAGAATATAGGCCTAGTTTACTCAACCTATCCTCATAGGTCAATCCTTTATCCCAGGAACCAATCTAGTGAATCTACGCTGCACACCCCTCTAAGGCGAGTATGTCCTTTCTTAAATAAGGAGACAACAATTGCACACAATATTGTGCAAACTATATTCAATATTCTATTCACTCAACCTTCAGAGCTCAAAGTTGTGTTTACATGGTTTAACTTTCTGTAACTTTGGCTCTGTTCTCTAGAACTCCACAACTCTCTCTGCTTTTAAAACCCATCTTTAACGTACCTCTGTAACTGCGCCTTCAGTGATCAAAATGATATGAGTTTATAAAATTATAAGATTGATTTGGATGAAGAAGGCATTTCAGTCCATCTGATCGCATCCCTCCCAAATACCAATCCCACCATCCGCATTATAGCATCAAGCTGCTTTTTAAATGAATCCAGTGGCCTGGCCTCAAAACCCTTCCTGGCAAATTGTTCCAGTTTTTAATTACCCTCTGGGTAAAGAAAACCTTCTTGCTATCTGTCCTGAAATTACTCTTTGCAATGCTGAACTTATGTCCTCTTGTTCTAACATTTTGTTGCATCCTAAAGAATTATTACATTTCCAATCCTATTTAAAATTTTACAGAATTGTATGAGATCGCTTGATCATTTTCTCTCGTAGCTGCAGGACCCCTGTTTTTCTAATAGTTGCTTATAGCTCATTCCACTAACATTGTGGAAATCATTCTCTCCTGTGCACTGCATCTGGAGCCTTGGCCGTCCCCCTATGTTGCAGTGACCAGAACTGCATGCAGTTCTCCAGGTGTGGCCTGACCAGTGAAATATGATTATAACATCTGAAGAATTAAAGTCAACTGCTTTAGCAATACAGCCCAACAACCTGTTTGCCTTGTTTATTGATCTGCTCACTTGAGAATGAAGAATATTGGGACCTTCTTCCGGTCGCTTCTACAATATAAATTTACATTTATGTGGTACCTTTCATGTCAGGCACCTGTTCTCCCTCCTCCTTGCTCTTTGCACCATGGCACAACACAGCCTTGAGGCAAGTCAACACTTTGTTTTTGAGCCTGAAAGACTATTTTTGTAATTGAGCTGCCAAATAATAGTCCATTGATTTAAAAATAGTAGTTCCAATTTTCTCCACTGGTGCCAACATCATATGATGTGGAAATATGCACTCTTGTGTTTATTTTTTGTGACTTTTACTCATAAGAATAGCAAACCTCAGAACAAAAGCCATGGCAATTGTCATGCTTTAGACTTGTAGCCCACCATTCCAGATGTGAGAACATCAGGGGCAGTTGACTTGCCTCCGGGCCTCTATAAATACTGCTCGTACACACTAGGTGGTACTGTACACACCCAAACCTTACTGTTACAAAGTGGATCCATTTACATTTAATACTGCTGCTTTAGAGGCAATGGTGGCTTTTAACTACAAATATTTTAATCAACATATTTATGAAATATTAAAGTCAAATTTGCAGTGCCTGTGATATTTACGACATTAAATGGGCCAGAGGTGAACCCCCTTCAAGCTAGTTTTATGCTGTTGGATTACAGTCTTTGACAGGAGGTTAGTGTTTTTTGGTGACTATTTTGACTGAAAGGCCAATATTCACAAACAGGCAGTCAGAGGCTGTGAGTCACCAGCCCAAATTCCAAATCTGAGTTAATCATTAAGAATGGTGTCAGGTGGTGAATGGTTGGATGGGGTGGGGTGGAACGGGTGTGGGGGAGTGTCACTTCCAGCCTATTCAGTGTAATAAATAATGCAGGACTTTGACACCATTGTTTTTTAAAGTAAATGCCAAAAAATAGAAAACAATTTGCTACGTTTCATTTCTGTCTGTCAGCAGTTGTGGGCTGGGATAGCATTCCGTGTCACTGCCTAGAAGTACAGTATAAGAAGATTATGATTTTTAAAATGTTTAATCCATGAACACTGAATAAATAAATTTTCAATTGCTTTTTCGAACATTTCTTTAATTCTACTATCCAAGGCTTTAGAAATTTAAGGAAACAATTTTTTTTATAACATTAGATAACAGGAGTGATTATTATGTTTCAGAGGCATAGGGTTAAACCCAAAGTATTCCCATTTGACTCGGAGGAGAACTGGCTTGTTCTTAATGAGTGGATTGAGCACATAATCACTTGTTAAGCCTCAGTTCCAGGAGATAGGAACTATCTGGTCTTTCTAAATCAAGATAATAAAGATCTGTCTCCAAATGGATTTTTTTCCTGGGGTGGGTGGGGGAGAAATTCCACCTGGATCTAGGCTTACACATTTTTCTTAGATTTTGGAGAATTCTTAACATCTGCCTTAATTGTAAAGCTAGCAAGTTTTTCTGCAGTATGTCGGCCTGGCTCAGTGGTTGCACTCTCGCCTCGGAGTCTTGGAATTACATAGTCTAAGATGACACTCCAAAGCAGTGCTGGGATTGTGTTACATTGTCGGAGGTGTTGTCCTTCGGATGAGACATTAAACCAAGGTCCCGCTTGCCTGTTCAAAGAACCCATTGCACTATTCAAAAAAAGAGGGAATTTATCCCGATGTTCCAGCCAGCAATCTCCCAAATAAAAAAAATAGTCATTCACTCCATGGCTGTAAGCAAACTGGCTGCTGCTTTTCATCCACAAAATACAGTCAATCCACTTTACACTAAATTCTGTGAAGTGCTCTGAGATATTTCAACGACGTGGTAAGTGCTATATCAGATGCCTCAGCTACCTTGTCTGGTAACTGTGCCTG